TTTTTTTTTTTTTTTCTCGTTTCCCCCAGATCTCACAGTACTGAGAGAAGCTAATTTAAAATTATAGGCTTGTAGGTCCCCACGTACAAGTGATATTTTTCCATTAGCTTCTCAACTTGTAGCAGTTGTGTTCCCCATTTTCCTGGACCCCAGGTGACAGTGTGTTTATTACAGGAGCTGTCAGTCCATATAAGGGGATTGCAGGTAATAATTTTTCATCCATCTCTGTGTCATTCACTCCCTAGAGTGCCAATTTTTTATCATATTAATGCAAATTTGCCTCTTAGGCTGTCCAAAGCCTGCCTTACTGTAAACCTGCCTCTAGTATTTACTGCCTCAGGTTTCTTTGATCTAGTATTAGCCGTTTAGGCAGAATAGCTTCACTCAAAATGACAAGGCTTGTAGTCTTGTGACTTAATATGCCAGAGTATAAGAGAAGTTGGTTTAAGCTATCTACCTCTTATTCTCCAGGTGTGTATACACAGGCTTTATCTCTGAAATCTTGCCAGAATGAAATGGAATCTCAATTATGTTTTTAAGCAGGAATATCATGTTCTCTGATAAGTTTATTACTGTATTTTTTTTTAATTTAAATGCCTGCTTAAACCCCTGTTAATCAGAAATACAATGTTTATTCTCTAAAGTCATTTAGGAGAAAACAGCAAATTCTATTTTTAGAATTTAGATTAGTGTGACATCTAACCCATGAAATTATGATGAAAAAGGCAACTGAGATAATCAAAATAATTCAGCCACCTACCATATATCATGCAAAGCTTGGAAATGCTATCAGAACACCGAAAACTGTAAGAAATCTGTTATACCTGAGTCTCTGCAGAAAGTGATTTGTTGATTGTATAGCAGGCAACATAAAATGCCATCCTGTAAATGCTGTCAAGAAAAGGTTCACGGTGCAGATAATTCCCCAGACAGGAAGCCTGAGGTGTGTATCCCAGAACTTGGTGTGTGACCAGCCAAAGAGCAAAGCCCATTGGGAAGCTATTGTGGGCTTGTACTAATTTTGGCATTACTCAATACCCTTCTGGTATGGAGCAAACTTGAAGTGACTTACAGGCACAGGAATAGGCCTCAATATGCTGCAACTCGTTTCCCAGCTACGGCTGAATCCCATGCACATGTGCCTCACAGTCTGGGAAAACCCCCAGCTTTCTCAAACCTAATCCTTTCTGGAGAGAGGGAGGAAGGGAGGGACTTGTGTCATTTGTCCCATGCTTTTTTTTTTTGAAGGCTGCCTTTTTACTTTCATTTTCTAGCATTTCCTATAATAGAAGCCTTTTTCCATCACATAGATAAGGACCAACAATTGTCTTTAATTTCACATCTATCTGAATTTGAAGTTTTCCTATCCTAAAGGAAGCAGCAGGCTTTAGTTCTCCAGGCTTTCTCTTTTCCTCATATGCTCTGACAGCCTTTACTTTGTGAGGGCTATATCTACACCAGTGGGTCCAGACTAATGTGAACTCTTCAGTGCGTGCCTGAACTTGATGGACACAAGCCAGCTCTCACCCAGGAGCTGTATAGCCACATTAACACGGCACTGTGATGAGCAGATTGTGGAGGGCATAGCCCTGGCTTGTACTCGGCCATGCCCCAGCCCAGCTATATTGCTTCTGAATCAGACTGGCTCACATCCAAAGGATCTGTCTTAGATGTGCTGTAGAAGTCCTGTAGTTGGATATCCTAGTCATGCCCTTGTATCTGCACCATTCCCCACTGGTATAAAATCTAAATATTTTTTTCATAGTCCAAATATCCTCACTGTCACAAACCCGTTTTTGTTTTGTTTTTTTTAAGAGCATTTGAGATATAAGGCATACCAAATAGTTTATCATTTTTAGGGATAGAAGCCTACTCAATCCTAAACCAGACTTGAGCTTTTCAAATCCACGTGCTCCAAGGTCTGAATTTGTAAAGATGCACCAAGTTCACATTTACGAGGAGCTTTGACATAACAGACAGTATTCACACAACCAAATTCAGGCATCCAAACATCATGAGGCTGGTCCCTTCCTGCTTCCTGTGCAAACAGGGAATGTTTTTTCCAGTGGGTGATTCAAAAGAAGTGGCCTGATTTAAAGGAACAATTTATGCGGAAACAAAATATAGTTGATTGTTTCTTTTCCTTCAAAAACTGAAGGTGTATTCCTTTAAACCATAATATTTTAGTGCACGTCAGTGTCCACTAAATTTAAATGGTTGGAGAATTGTGACTATTAAGGTCTCCACTCTGTAGGAGATTAATACTGGGCATCAGTGAAAACTCAGTGTTCAAAGATGGGCAGTAGAATAGGACAAATGTAGCTGGTTATTACCGTTATGGTTACACAGGATGGTGAAAGTTGGAGTTCTGACTGTATCCTTATTTACTGGAGACATGGCTGAAAAATGTGATAGAAATAGATTTGTGTGGTGCAACACAACTGGGGAAGCTATCTTGTATTTGAATTTGCAGATTCTAATTTGTCTTACAGTGACTTGTTATTGAAACCGTGGAGTAGGAAACAAATACTGAAAGGTGGTGGTACTGCATATAGGTATATCATTTTTTAAAGAGAATATATGAACTCAGCATTTGCTTTGAGATTCCCAGTATTGGTATGGTAATGGTGTTTGTTTGTTTGTTTTCTTTAAGTGATAGAAACCACCTTCTAAAAGAAGCAGAGATATTACACAAAGCCAGGTTTAGTTACATTCTTCCAATTTTGGGAATTTGCAACGAGCCTGAATTTCTGGGGATAGTAACAGAATACATGACAAATGGGTCATTAAACCAGCTTTTACATGGGGTAAGTGTACTTACAGTCTTTAAATAAAATCGCTGGTTGTTTCAAATAGATGGTGATTTCCATACTTAAGAGTAAGTAGTAATGTGTATTACTAATAATATTTCAAATTACGGGACAGTCATTATCACTAGTAGTTTTTGGTGCTGAGATGGATTTTCTGTATCCCGAAAAGACAAGCAAATTCAGCAGACTTTAGTTTTATTACACTTTTTCATTTAATGCTGTGACCTATTACTGGCTTCATCTTGAGTTTTTATAGACAATTGCTATAAAAATCTCTGTTGTTCTCTAATTAGAAGATAAAAAACGCTTACTTCAGTCTGGGTTTCAGAATTATTGCCAATGTAAATATCACACAAAGATGAAGTTCTTTTCCTAAATTTGAATCCTTGTTTTTTTAAAAAATGAAAATTTTTACTTTAGTTTATAGAAATCAAATATTGCTAATTAAATAGATATGTATATTTCTACCAGATCTTACTCCCAGGAGTAAGTCCTGCTATGCTGAACTCTCAGCTGCTCCCAAAGCTTGGTCTGAGCATCCAGTATTGCCGCTGTAAAACTACTGCAGTTTGTCTCAACAGCACTGCAGTCTCTTGCATACATGTCATCAACACGGATCTCATGCCTTAGAAAGCTCAGCAATGTGTCCTTCATAAAGGCATTAGTGTTAATGTGACTTTTAACGTTTCAGTTTTTTACTGCCTTTTTCTGGGTGTATTAATATTTGTAAATGTAGTATTTTGTGCTTAGTTTCACCGCAGCTTCTTTTTCCCGGTGTCAGTTGAAGATACAATTCTTGCCTTCCTTTGTGTAGTACTCATAATCTGTGCATTGCAAGTTTCATGCAGGAGAATCATATTTCCACACGAATGAGTAATGTAGTAAATGTCCTACATCATGTATGGCAGTCATGAACAATTACATGAATGCTAGGGAACGGAAGCATAACACTGCATGATTAACATTTATATATTTGTTTTAGGAGCTAACCAGTCTTAATGCTCAGTCACAAATTTTTAAGGAATTCATGTAACGTATGTTTTAAATGAGTACTGCTTGTCCAGATAACTTTCTTCTTATTATAAAAGTCTTTGTGTTATGCTGTTAGATGAGAACAGAGGATTATATTCTGGTTTTGTGGTTTTATCTTGGCAGAAAGATGTATACCCTGACATTCCCTGGTGCCTGAGATTCCGCATTCTTTATGAAATTGCTTTGGGAGTAAACTATTTGCACAACATGAATCCTCCATTGCTGCACCATGACTTGAAAACCCAGAATATATTACTTGATGATGAGTTTCATGTCAAGGTACACTTACATAATTCTTATGTTCTTCAGCATCCAGAACAAGCGATGAAAATGTTTTAACTATTGTAGAGGAGGAAGAGTGAGGATGTGGTCATACAGAGGGGATGTAATTGTATGTCAGACGTTTTCTTCTATCCTTGAAGACAGAACTTTTGAGTTTTTCTTTTGAAAACTCTGCTTTGCTCAAGTGTGAATTTGATCCATCTGAAAAGACCAGAAAGCCAGAATTTGGCCTGGTTTTGCCATAGCAGTAGCTGATAATAGCAGTGACACTGTCATATGGCAACCCTCCTCCAAGGGTAGCTAGGTCTGGCCCTTTCTGAGAAGAAAATAGGCAGCGTACCTGTCTGAGATGCTCAGACAAGTTAGTTCTGGAGGCCAGTAGGTCAAATTCAAACGTTAATACCCCATTTGATATTTATCATGCAATGTGCACATATATGTTCTGTTAGTGTAGAATAAGAACATGTAAAACGTAACTGCGAAATCTGAACATGTTGGAAGATGGCTTTTGTGAAGCTTCTTCAAGCAAGTAAACATACGTAGAGAAGTAACATTAGTTTAAAACTTTAATTCTGCCTTTTAAAATATCAGTGCCTTGATGTGGAAAAGAGATGAAAAGTACTTCTGGCAAGATGGTTAGGTGCTTCCATAAGTGCAAGAGTTCAGGGTTTTTTTTATAAAAGATCATCTATTTTTAAAATTGATAGAATATACTATTCAAGTAAATGCAAAATAAGAGGTATTTTGCACTTGAGCATTCACCATTCAGGTATAAATTCAGCTGCTACCGTGAGATGAATCTTTCTGTGGGTCCTCTGCATAAAGATCAAAGATCCAGTGCTGATTTCTTCTTTCTCCATTGCAAAGATGTCTTTCTTGGCAGCAAGGTGCTTTACAGAGCTCTGTCTCCACTCACACCCTCATCCTCCCACTCAGTTCTGCTGGTATGGCCTTCTCTCGAGCTTCCTGGTAAAGCTGATTGGGAAACTGGTCCAAGTAATTATTTTATCCACTGTTTTTTTTAATCTCTGACAGCATTGGTATGGTCTGGTGCCCTGCCTGACCACATCTAAACAGTTGCTTTGCTGGAGTAATTGAAGGGAAAAGGTTAACTCTTGCATACCTGCTCTGCCTCCTGTATGAAGTCTCTGTAAAATTGTCCTTAGTGTTTCTAAGTTTTTTTGGGGGGTGGAGCAATATTCTTTAAATTAGGAGAGCTGGCAGGAAATGCAAGGAAGATTATAATCCATGCCAAATAGAAGTATTGCATATGTATAAAAGTAACACCATTCATAGAGTGCTTCTGACTGTCCCAGATTTACTGAATGAGCAAGATAACGTGACCAGTTACAGTGATGAAGGCTTGATGGGAGTGAGTTGTAGAGGGAAAAAAAAAGGCTATTCTTCACTGTGGATTTTGACCCTACGCTCTCCAGAAAGCTTATTTCTGTTATCTGAATTGCCACAGTGCTCTCATGGGCATCTTTGTTGAAAAGGTTTTTTTGCTTTTATGCAAATGCTGGACAAGTGGACAAGTGAAGAGCTTGTAGGTGGCTGCTTCTCTCTCAGTATGCCGGACACTCTGCAGCTCAGCCAGCAAGTTTATTCTGCTGCTTGTTTGTCTCCCTACCTGTAACCTAGTGTGACATCTTGCTCCCTGGCTCATGGATGCCTGGGATTGTAAAGTGAAGTCAATTTTTTTATGCAGATGTACTGTAAACTCTGTAGGAGTAAAGAAAATATTCAGCAACAACTTTTTGCAGCACAGAATTTCAGAATATCAAATTTGTTAATGCAAGATTAATGTTTTATAGGTTGGAGAGTGGAATGCCCTAAAATTTTTCTGTGAGAGAAACTGTCTTGGGGTATCTGCAAATTATTTAGAGCTATTATGATTTATACTAAATTTGTGCTTTCTTCACAACCAAGAAGCTAGATTTTTTTGTTTGCTTTTTTTAACCAAAGAAAGTTATTTTCTTCATACAGGACAGACTCCCATAGCAGAATCTCCAGCCGTAGATTATATGAGTCCTTCCTTAAAAGAACAACAGGATAGGGCAGTGCTATAGGGATATCGTGAGTCATGACCTGGGAATGTTTTCTCAACTGGAGCTGGTGTTACCTGTTGCTAGGACAACCACATACTTTTTGTGTGTCAGGTTAAGGACTTGCCAGGTTATTGACCTCTTCTTTCGGGCATATTTCAGGAGTTTCTAACAACGGTCAGCAGATAAATCCAGTTTTATTTCTCAGGACAACTGATTTGTCCTTTCCAGATTGCAGATTTTGGCATGTCAAAATGGCGTGTCATATCCATGTCGCAATCACGCAGTGAAACCTCTTTGCCAGAAGGAGGGACGATTGTCTACATGCCACCTGAAGATTACAATCCCAGTCAGAAAACCCGTGCAAGTGTAAAGCATGATATCTACAGGTAACTCATGTTGTTCTCAGGTGGGCTTTGTGATCTGAATTCAAATTTTATTTAGTGAATTTGAACATATTTTCTGCAATTTTATTATTTTCAGAAATGTCGTAAGTGTATAAGCAAAGTATCTTGGGGAAAAAAGAATTGAGTGGTAGCTGGGTTTCATCGCCTGTTTCTTTAGAAAACACTGTCACAAGTGTAATTCTCCAGAAATTAAGCTAGAACTACAGAGGCAGACAGGGGAGACTGTTTTCTATAAAAGAATGAACACATAGAGACAATGTAGGGAGGGGGAAAACTGTTCACACCATTATCTCAACGCACATACCCTTGTAATTTGTGCACATCAATTAACAACATTTGCAGAATGTACTTGGGGGGAAAGAAGGAAACATTTTTGGAAAGAGGTTAGGAAAAAGCAGAGTAATGGGGTGGGAGGAAGCATTTAGAGAGATCTTCTTAAGAAATAATTTACCTTATGAAAGTTTAGGAACATTTGTGTCTTGTACTTGTAGAGGTAATAGAATAATAGAATAAGTAATAGAATAAGAAGTAGTACAGTAGTGGTGACCTATATGTATAACAAAAGAGCAATTGCTCTTAGGACATTAGAGTTAGTTAAAATTAGCTCATCTGAAAAGGCTTGGAGTTTAAAGATTAATTGAACAACTGTGGAGGGAATTGTGGGGATTGAGGAGGCATGAAGAGGCCTATCACTGTGACAAAGTCCATCTCTCTGTTGCACTCTACCACTTTACTTTCAGCTGCCTTTGACAGGGTCGTATTTTGTTGAGAGATTAATTAGTCTCAGAGGGTTTTACTGACTTCCAGGGAGACCACTATTTCTCTTAATTATCCCTTATCCTTAAGGGGTACATGAAGTTTCTTAACATTCCTGTACAACGAATAGAGATGGTAACATACTTGCTTTCCTCATTCACCCTGTTATGAGAAAATCTGGACTAGGAAAACATTGAGAAGGAATAATGATATACTGTAGGGAAAGAAGTAGTGATGTGATATTATCTCCTCTAGCTTCTGATTTTAGAGAATTTGCAAGTGTGGCTAGTGACTTAGTGAGTGGAGAAGAGAAAGACAAGTATTTGCTACAAAATAAAAAAAAAAATGTGCAGAGGAGTAATAACCAAATGGGATAATAAGAGAGAAGAGATCAGTAGAAGATCTTAGAATACTTATAAATTAGGAAGGAAAGAGATTATTTGAGAAGAGAGAAAAGAAACTGAGACAACATCATAAAGAGATATGGCAGTGAAGGAAATGAGAACCAGAAAGGTCACACAGGAAGATTGGTTCTCAGGATCAGAAGATGTTATGAAGCAGAAATAAGAAAGGAAAACATGAATAGTGTAAAGGGGAATCCGCAGGAACTGGTATGCTGCAGTGTTGTAGAATTGAGAAAATAATCTTTAATTGTAGAGCAATTCTAAACAATGAAAGACTGATTAACTGACCACAGCTGATACAGCTGAATGTTGTTGGGATATTGCAGATAATTTATGAGGAAGGATCTTTCTTAAAGAAGCAAATAATTTAAACAACAGTCAAGCAGCATTAACTTTTACAAAATGAGTGATTCGCCATGCCAAAAAATAAAAAAAACAAACAACCCTGCCTGCATTAATTTCTCAGGAATGTATCAAAAGGAGGCTTTCTAACAGGGATGACTGTTTTTATTAAAAGTTACTTGAATAATTTTTAACATTGATGAATGTTAAAATGTGAATAGAATAAGCAGTTAGGAAAGCTCAATTTAAATGATTGACTTTTAAGTGTCAGTTAATTTTTTTTATTCTTCCTAATTGGTAGTTGTTAGATGATACAATGCTTATAGATGGTTATATGTAAAGTGTATGCAAAATTTGGTATTTCTTAGTGATGTAAGAAAATACTGTCTTTGTGTACAGTTATTTGAGTAGTTGAGCAAACATTTATCCTGGTAAATGTAATCCTTGTTTAGCAAAATTATTTGCATTGTTTAATTTTTATTGCTTCAGTGGAAATTGGATTTCAATTTTTTTGAAGTGAGATTTTAAATACTTTTTAATTCATTTTTAAACTGATTTATGGAAAAAATAAGGGGGTAGATGTAAGTTTACAAAGATATGTTTGACATTGGAAATTAGGTTCTTAAGCAGTGAAATATTTTTGCTCTCTCATTTTAGCTTTATTCCTCACATCAAATTCCTATTTTTAAACAGGAAAGCTAGATTTGAGGTTTTACATTATTTTATTTGCTTTAGCTGCATTGACTTTTTTTATAAATTAATTCAATGCTTCATATAAATGAAATCTAATCTTAATTAAATTACAAGGTTGTTTAAAGTTACCTTTTTTTAATATGTCCTGATGACTGAAGAGAGTGACGAGTCTACTAGAGGTGGAGCAGGTTTGTATTCACTGAACCACTTTCCATTCATGTTAATGTGTGGAAAAAAATGTCACCAGTTTGAGTAAGCAGATATGTTCAGTCTCCTAGCTGTAGATCAGGGTGGTCTTCCTGAGAGTCTCTTTTGTAAAGTAAATGCTGTATGCAAGTGACACTTCTTCCTGTAGAGAAGTTTGCATATGTAAAAAGTATGTCTGTCTGTGGGGAAAGCTGGAGTGTGCTTCCTGGGGGCTAGTTTGTATCCTACCCGACTCTTCAGCTTTGTGTTGGGATAGAAGTGACAGCCATCCTCCCTGCTAGTACCCTGCTTCCCATGGGAACGCCAGGGAGTGCCGATCCGGGTTGGGGAGATTCCACAGTATTGCAGTTAGGGCAGAGCAGTTGGGACTCTGGGGCTTAGTTTAGTTTGTGTGTTGAGATTTAAATTGCGTGTTCATAATTCACAACGTGTTAGTAGAGCAGAGCTAATACAGATTTGAAATAGTTTATTTGTGATGTACCTTTTATGTACTTAATATTGTGAAGTCGTTATTGTCGAAGTCACTGGTTAAAATTCCTGATAGTTTTTGTATATTCAGATCATTGTTGTAGTTAGCTATAGTCAGTCCTGTGTCTGCATGTGGGATCATTTTAGCTGAGCACATCGAGTTATTGTTGGTAATCTAAAATAAAGTAATCTATACTTTTTATACTTTAAACAGTTATGCAATTATTATGTGGGAAGTGATGTCAAGGAAACAGCCATTTGAAGGTAAGGCCATGTTTCCTTTAATTTATTTTTCCAGCCAGTAAAGGCTAAACCTATGATCTGGGTGCCTGGGGACTGCGTTTCAGGGGTTACTTTTTAATGATTCAATTTGTAAGCTTGTTAAAGAACATTTTGAGTTACTTTTCAGATTGGACTTTTTTTTTTTCTCTGTACTTTTTTTTTAAAAAATTACAGTGTTTTTTGATAAATTAAAAATACTTTTTTTAAAATCCAAACCATATCCTTATTTTGGTGAATTAATATACTATGTCTGCAAACTACATTATTCCTCCTAAAGTAAGCTATTTCTATTGCATATATTGCTAATGACTGCACGATGTCTATTTTGACAGAAGTTATAAACCCCTTGCAGATAATGTATAGTGTGTCACAAGGACAGCGACTAGACTTAAGTGAAGAAAGTTTATCGATGGACATTCCTCATCGAATGCTCATCATAAGATTGATAGGAAGTGGATGGGCACAAAACCCAGATGAAAGACCATCATTCTTAAGTAAGTTTACCTTGCATAATGAGAAAACATTTTTAAATTGCCAGATTTCAGTTGAACATGGTACTTGCAGAGCAAGGTTATAGTCTCAAAAGGGAAGTGGAAAGATGTCAAGAGATATCTGTGCTCAGTCTTGTTGCATATGATAAGGTGGTTGTCTGCTTCCACCATATCTGTAACCAAACTTTTATGAATGGAACTACACATGTGCCTTAAGATGTTGTTGTTAGTTGGAGTCTTTTGCATTTGCCATCTCTAATTTACCTGCAAAAAAACAGAATGTTTTGTTTAACTACTTGCACTTAGAGCTTTTTGTTTATTGTTGAAGGGAACTTTTTTTTTTTTTTTTAATTTAGAAGGGAGGGAAGTGAAGTATAGAATGAGTACTGTGGGATTTATGAGCAAGCTGGCAAACACACAAACCATTACACAGTTTGTATCTCACTATAAATCTTTTTCACTGACTGTTTCTTTACTGTTCCACCTCCCAGATCGAACGGGAACTGGTTGAACCCATGCACTTAACTTTCTCTTTCCATCCTTTCTTTGTTCAGCTTCTTGTCCAGGAGACCAAATATAGATACTTTCAGCCTTTTTTACAGTGGATTGCTGAATTCAGAGAATAAGATTTAGGTGCAAACTTGTAGAGATTAGAGTGGCATAGTGTGAACTGGAAATGGGTTTTTTTTGTTTTTGCAGACCTGTGTTGGTTGCATTTCACTGATGTACTCGGTGTATGTCAAGTCCACACTTATCCCCCATAACAATTTCTCCTTAACATGCTTAATTTTGTGGTGACTTTTGGTTCTTGTTTGGCCATTGCCTAAAGGTAATTCTATCAAAATTGGCAAAAAGTGATTACCTGGTTTCGACTGTGAAATTTGCTCTTCCACGTGTTGCTGTGGTCACGTATGTCAGTGTGGTGATGCTAACGGTGGTTCCTGCAGCTGCCTCGCTGTGCTTAATTTACATGTGCTTTAACAACTTCCTCCCTAAACCTTTAGAAAACATGATTCTAATTCTGTAGGAAAAGCTGAATCACCTTGGAGATTTAAAAATGTAGACTAAGAGAGTTACTGAAAGTATTCAAATGTAAAACAGTACAAAGAGCCCTGGCTTAAACAATTCTATATTTTTAGTTTCTTACTGGTTGAGGATGCAATGCCTCAAACCTGAAAGGCTAGGGTTTTTTAGTTGGTTCTAGTGGGTTTTGGGTTTAGGGTTTGTTTTGGTTTTAATGTTAACAGTGGAGAGGTTTGCAATCTTAATGTTTCCTTTGTAGCTTTGCTGAACAGAGGATTGTTTATTATTTTGAAAACCTTTATAGGCATACTTCCTTTGAGCTGGAAAGTGTTAGAAAGCTTAGAGTGTTCAGATAGCTTAGAACGAAATGTTCATTTATTTGCATCAGTTTGTCAGAGGACAAAATGGGGACACGTCCAAACAGATACAGCATCTTCATGTTCAGTTTACAGTCCAAAATTAATTACATGAACTTTTTTTAGGCATTCTTATTTTTGCATTAAGAACATTTTTAAATGTCAGGTTATTTTGGCATGAGTCTGGTTTGTGTGACTGTAAATTGTGATTTATTTTTTTTTTCCAAGCAAGGAAATATATCTATTTATAATATTTTTTAAAATCAAAAAGAACAGACACATCATGATATTTCCTTATGTATTCTTGTTTTCCTGTGGCAGTTAACCAAAATAGCAGTCAAACTCTATGGTCACACTGAAGGAATAATTACCTGGGATATGTACTAAAGTGTAAGCTAACTTGGGTTCTGTTAATAGTGCTGTGTCTGTAGTAAGATGGTCTTTGAAGAAAACATGCATTGCTTTTTACCCTACTTTACTATCATGAAAAGAAAGAGGAAGTTGCAAAACTGTTGCAAAATTAAGGGAAGTAAACTCACTGATTGGGAAATTTTGCTATTACCATACCACGGGGGAGAAAAACTGAAAACAGCTGAAACTTTTTTGTTAAATTAACTTTAAATAGAAAACCTCAGTTAACCTGTCTGTTCCCCTTATAAAGAAGGGGTAAAGACTACATATCATCATGTTGCTGCATGTACTTGGAATGTGTACCTACATTTTAATTATAATCTGCAAAAATTAACTGTGCTAGTATTTCTGTGTGGAAAATGGAGCTGTTAAATTATGTTTGAGCTGATGCAAGAAAATAAGAATCCCAGTATTGAATACATGTCTTTGAAGGTGCTAGTGGAAGAAAGTAATATGGGATTAAAAAAAAAAATTTAGTAAGGCAGTGTGACAGATTGCTAGTGTGGTAAATGGGTTTTCCTGAATGGGTCGAGTCCATAGAAATGCAGTAGAATTGTGATATGCCATAATCCTTTCCTGAGTTTTTGTTGAACTTGAGCACAGTTTCAAAAATACATTTTTATGATATGGTTCTCTCAAAATTTGAAATAATTTTTTAAAACTTTCAGCACTGGAAAGCAAGGGAGCATAGCACAGGTTGTCACTTGCTTATTGGGTTGCCATTTGTCTCCCTATGGGAGCAGATGATTTTAGCTGCTCTGACTTGCTGCCTGTGGTGAGCATGAGGACACTATCATTTGGGTTCATTGGGTTTGATAGGTCAATGCTTTCATTATCACCATCTTCTCTGGCCCTGCCGCACAGCGTCTGTTCTGGATTTCTCTGTGGTGGGGAGTCGTTTGTTTGTTTTTCTTGTATAAATCTTTAAGACCTCTGCTGGAGTGGGAAGACAGCAACCCACTCTGAGGTCTTGTTCTGTTTGACCCCATTTAGCAAACCAGGTTTGTTGGGTCTATCTTGGAAATAGAGCAAACCCACCAATATATCCATTCCAGGAATGTAAGACTTGTGGTCAGGCACAGTCATGGATCTCTCTTGATACAGAGTACTCAGGTGGCCAGATCACGACTGGGTTTGTTTTGGTGATGTGAAACTTGTATTTGTAACAGGTGAAAACAAGAAACTTCTGTTTAGCAGCATAAGTAGTTTGATATGTATCAGTAGACAAATTACTTTTGTAAATGTAAGAAAGTAGCTTGAGCAAAATTAAAAATTAATTTCCACCTTAAATTCTTCAGCAAAGTACTCTCTCTTTGTTTAGAATGCTTAATAGACCTTGAGCCAGTCCTGCGATCATTTGATGAAATAGCTATACTGGAAGCAGTCATTCTGTTAAAGAGATCAAAGGTAAGTGGCTTTTGTTACAGTCATGAATTGGTCAAATAAATTGGTAGGTTTTGCTTGCTAAAAGAAATGTAATCTCCTTTGTCGTTTATTTAATCTTGTATATGGCTGAAGCATGTGTTTGTATACAGCTGTCATCTTGTCATAGCAGAAATTTAATACAGGTAAATATGTCTCTTCCAGTCACTATATGAATCACGGTGTATTTACAAGAGTGGAAAGAAATCAGATGTGGAGCAGATATCTCTAAATATACCTCTGAATCCTCAAGAGGTAAATATTTTACATACTGCATTTGGTATGTCGTTATCATTAAAGATCCTGAGAGCTCTAAACGGTGGTTGACTTAGTAAGGGGCGTTGTTGTGCAGTTTACTTTCTTATGCAGTCAGGAAAGACATAAAATGCGTTACTTGAGCCAAGGTGTAACAAATGCATAGTCATATAGGTGAAGATAGTAAAGGGTGAGTAAGTAGAAATAAGAAGGGGCATGTTTGGTATATCCTCTAAGTGTGGGACAGTCTGTCCCTCAAGGAGGAATGCAGCGCACAATGACTGCAACTTGTAAGAGACTGTTTTCTGCTCCCTTACACCTCTACAGAGCTTGCTTATGTAGGGTCATATAGATTTGCTTTTACATTTTGATTCTTAATGCTGATTATTTTGATTATTACTAATGATAAAACTTTCATACAAAATTGCTGTCAGCTTTGGAAAATAACAAGTTTTAGGATTATACAGATTTCTTCTGTTTTACTGTATTTTAATGATGCTGTCTATTGAACATTTAGATAGTAGGGAAAACACAGTGATGGGAAAGTACTCTGTAAGTCATTGCAACTTTGTATTTATTTAATGTGCATTTTCATTATACAACTGGAATCATTTCAGGAAACATACTCTGGCTCCATACAATGTGATGCACTTCCCCTTCGGAGCATCTCTCCAGATATATCAAGACTCAAGTCTGTTCCCAAGTGTAATATCTTCTCATCAGGTAGAGATGCTAATGACTTCATATAAATTTAAATTGCCTTCACAGCTTTACGCTCCCACTGTAACATTGCATTTACATAGTAGATAGATGGATCTCTGTTTATGTCAGAAAACAGATGTGTTTTGTAAACTTAGTGCTCTGGGTAAAATAATAGTGTATTTCAGTTCTGATTTTCTGTTCCTGTCACTTGAGAAATCCCCACAGCTCACAGCTTCAGTTTTCCTTTTCAGGATCATGAGTGCAGAGATAGCATTTACTTGTCCCTTCAGACCCTTGGTAGTTTAGTTAATTATTTGTGAACTACTCCTAAAGATAAAAAGGCTAAACATTTTGAGTCACTCCTAAAGCTGAGTAAACTGAAAGTTTCTAATGCAGCCCAACCTCTCTATCATTTTTGATTCAATAAATAAAATGGCTTTAATAAATAGATGGCGTGGCAATAGTATCTGCACAGACCTTTTGTTGCTGTCACTTTTTCTGAATAAAAGTTGGCAAAATTCCCAGACAAAACTCAATTTTGAGGTTTTGTTGACTTGAGAAGCCAGAAAAATTCAGTGGGACCCAGGTGAAATAGCAATACATTATGAAACTAAAATCACTTGAGTTTCTTCTCTTCAAAGAATGCAAACATATGTTTCAAAAGAACGGAGCATCCTTTGGCGTTGCAGGGACCAGTGGTGTGAAGGCAGAAACGATGACTGACTTCACTGCTGTTAAGTAGCATATCAAAAAGTATGCTGAGGTGCTGCAAAACTGGAGATACTTTGGTAGAGATAGGAGGGCACAGGCAGGTTTTTTTCCAGCTCACTTCAACACATTCACAATGCTGAGCTTTTACTCAGTATACTAGAAAGATATAAATACAGCAGGAATTCCAGGGAAAACAAATTACAGGAGGCTTAAGGGTTTTGAGTTACAGGGGGAAATAGCAGAAAGCAAATACAGTGTAGTTTGGTTATACCCAAGCATGTATCTATACACACACCAAAAAAAATCTTAAAGATGAAGAATACCTTGTGGTTACCAAGCTTGATAGGAATGTTGCGATGAATTTTAGAAAATGGAATATTAGATTGAATATGAGTATGGACTGGTAAGTGTAATCAGATAACACAGTGATCAATGTCAGCCCTTCTTAGTGCTGGTTCCTGTTAAAAATTTTACTATCTGCCTTTGGAGGCCATTGATGAGATTGCGGGGATGCTATTAATCTGATTGATCAGTTGATGGTCCTTTACAGAGTCACTGCTTAGACTTTGTTGCATATATGTGTGGATACTGTAAAGCCTGTGAAAATAGTGTCTACAAAGCTGTACTACATCAGAAGTGTTTGTTGTTGCCTTGTCAATATCTACATCAGGTAGTTTTATAATGGAAAGCAAGACTGGCATTCTTCTTACTTTGTTTAAATTAGATGCAGTTGTTTCAGGTGAAAATGTGTTCCCACATAGCTGTTGGCAAGAGATGAATTTAGCATGACAAGAAGACAGAAGTTAATGACTATAGATTTTAGTTGAGGGGTTTTTTTTATCCTGCCAATACAATTTAGAAAACGTTTTCAGAAATTTGCTCCTTCAGAGTTCAGATGGGTCTTCTAACTTTCAGTCTCTCTAATTTTTCTTCCCTAGCCAGCTTATATACAGACTTGTTTATGGGCACTGCTTTAAGCTTAAATAGCTCTTTTCCCTCTTCTCATTTTATTTCTGATATAGAGTAATATTTTATATTCTGATATAGAGAATAATCTTTTAATACACTTTGTTTTGAAATCCATTTGTAAAATAAGCTTCTTCATTCTCCTGGTATCCTACTAGTCCTCCCTGTGCATGTTCTAACTTAAGTCATGGAATTAAGGGTACCAGACATCTGTACTTAGTATTTAAAAAGAAGTGTGACAGGTATGTTCTTCCTGAAATAAGAACATAATTTATTATGCCTTAGAATTTTATTTTTCCTTTCTTACAAGATTCTTCATTACAGAATAATCTACCCAGGTGTCTTTTTTTTTTTTTTTTTCTCAGCTCAATTTCCAAATCATCATTGGCAGCTTGAAGCAGAAAGTCTAGGTCTCATGTTTTGTGCTACTGAATTTCCACTTCTATTACGCCAGTCTTCTAGGTCAGCTAGGTTATTTCTGAGTAATGTGAGTCAACCTGTTCTTTCTGAATAACACCTGAAAATCTCCTCAGCATGTTTCTAATTTTAATGCTATGGTCCCCGGTGAAGTTTATTCTCCCATACCAGTACAATCCCAGTAGTTTTGTCTCTAATGCTGTTAAAGACCTGTGTATGCCTAGAGATCTATAACAATCTATCCTAGCAGAGCTGTTCAGAATCCTTTTCTAAAATGATCTTTCACTCACATCAGTTGCCTCCTAATCCTTTCTCATTCATACAGTAGATAACATCTGCTGCTTCACACTGTATAACTCTGCCCAGCTTACTTTCTCTGTAATGAAATGAAATGCTAGTTACTATGAGTTCTGGTCCACCATTTTTTAAATAATGTGTGCCATTTCCTTCACAGTTTCCTATTTCTGCTCCATGTACTTAGAGCCATATTCTTTAACAGATCAACACTCTGATCTAGGAATCTACCTTCAAATACCCCTATAAGTCCTGAGCTGTGTAGGGGGCTACCTGTTTTTAGTGCGTGTTTAGATGTTCATCTGAATTCTTACATCTGCATCTCTGGTTCTTAGTTAACATCTCTGAATCTCTTTATCAAGCGACACTGTGGAAGTCTGTAATAAAAACTGTACACAGAATTAGGCATGTGCCCCGTAACTTCTTTCTCATTATCTCTTTTTCATTTCTTCTTTGAGTCATACCTACTGCTGCTTTCATATCCATCATCTTTTTCTGCCATAAAAAAATCCTGAAAATAGAAACTATTAAGTTTTCCACCTGATATAACCCCTGTTCTTCATTTCTTTGCAAATGTTTACATGAAGCTTTCTTGAAGTTACATGCTATTTTGACAGACTGCCTGAAACTTCTATTGGCTTCCCACCAAATACCACCATTGGTTTTCATGTTCTTTCCCTCCACCTGAATTTTTGTTTCAATCTTTCTACCTTTATTATGCTGCTGAACTTCATCAGAATAAATTAGTCAGCTTTTATGCTGACTCCAAGCTACCCCTTGAAATACTTGAAGGAGTTATTTTGTTCTTTCAGTCCCTACAAATATTTTCTGTTGAACAGAGCATTTTTTAAAGTTCACATCTACTAGATTTATTCTCTCAGTGTTCTTTTAAAACAAAACAAGACCCCCAAACCCATGGTCTAGCCCTGGTAGAAGATAAGGAGCATAAAGTTACTCAGAACCTGAGTATAAGGAATAATGTATTTGAGGTGAATTTATGTTTTATAGAATTACTCTAAATAGTCTGTGACAGCTTGTGTATTATTTGTACATAAAATTAATACAGTTTTTTTTTTTTTTTTTTTTTTCCAAGATGGAAATTCTGGGAGTCTACAACCTCTCAGCAGTCAGAGCACAGATGAAAATCTCTCTGTACCTCAGAGCGCCAAAGTTCTTGTGCATCCATACAATTACTTTCCTTCATCAGAGAAGAGTATTTCAGATGCCTCAAATTCTGCATCATGTATCCTGCGGTCATCACCAATTTCTTCAGGTACAGCAAACATTGATTTAATTCCAAGACACACAATAAGTGTCCTAATATCAAATATATGTGTGTATGAAATGGAAATTGTTCATCTGTAAAATGAAAAGCATTCTACAAATTAAGAATTCAAGTAATTTTGATCTTGTAGCCTTATATTGCAAAGTAAAACCAATGAAAAATATGACCTAGTGCATGTACATGTAGCTCCTAGCTTTTTTTTTTTTTTTTTGTCTTGGGTCTTCCTTACCCCATTCCTTTTGCTGATATTTCTCCTACTACTTTTGTCGCAGTGCTTCAATCCAGCAGAACAGGAATAAAAGTTACCTTGAGCTTTACTCATCTTGTTGCCTGTCACTTCTTCCCACTTCTTAGGCTTGTCAATCTTCCTCTTAGTAATGGTGAGGCAAAGAGAGGCAGCAGCTGTGTCAGCATCTCACCTTTAATGAACTTCTGTGTTAGCTGAGAACCCACTGCATGATATTACTATGCACCAAATAACTGTTAAAATTGTACTTCCAAAAAGAATAACAGAAGGTAACTTTAATGCGTGATGAATTACTCGGAGACATTTTTTTGTGGGCCACGCAATAGCGTGCAACTTTATAAAGATCTGCCGCATTACTCTCTTCTGGAAATATGATAATCCGCACCTTTTCACTGTGTGAATCCTTAGTTTGGGTAAAATATGCAGGAAACTATAGGGGTGTTTTAACTAAATTTCAATAAAAATCCCACTGCAAAGTGAAGTTACCACCACCTCTCTCTTTTTAGTACCAGGAGGGTTTGAACACTGAAACAGGTTGTTCACAGAGGCTGCAGAAGTCCCATCACTTGGAGATGCTCAAAATTCATCTGGACAAGGCCCTGAACAACCCGAGTTATCCTCAAATTTGGCCCAGCTTTGAGCAGTCCATTAGACCAGATGTGACCTCCTTGAGGCTTCCTTTCAACCTAAATTATTCTGTGATTCAAATAAAATAAACAAACCACCAAATTTGACAAATTTGAACATTTTAAATGTGGAATACATTAGTGAAATGTTAAAGGCATGTTTAGTACTCTAGTGTATTTCTGACCAAAACCAAGTTTTAAACAGCTCTTTCTCAGTTTGTTCCTTGTTCTATGGCACTGTTTATTGACAGATAGTTACAATACTTTTTTTAATCCTCTCTAATCTCAGATTTGGTTTTGGAAACTGTGCAACAGAATGTAGCTCATCAATGGATCCAAAGTAAAAGAGAAGAAATTATTGATCAGATGACTGAAGCATGTTTGAATCAATCACTGGATGCTCTTCTATCAAGATTTTTACTCATGAAAGAAGACTATGAACTTATAAGCACCAAACCTACAAGGACATCAAAAGTCCGACAACTTCTTGATACCTCAGATAGCCAAGGAGAGGAATTTGCCAGAATTATAATACAAAAGTTGAAAGATAACAAACAGCTAGGACTTCAACCTTATCCAGACATTGTATCTAATTCTCTAAGACTGCATCTTTAAAATTATTCTTTCTATGTGAAATTCTTGTTTTTATATAGTAGTTTTATATATGTACTGCTTTGTCTTTATTATGCCATTGTAGTGCCTCAGAAATGACACTGACTTCATCTCGACTGCATTTGGTGAGTTACAATTAATCAATTGGAGTGCGGTCATAAATCCAAACAGTCGACACTTGTTGACTCAATTCATAGAAGTATTTTGTTTATACATGACAAAGAAAAAACATTAAATGTTCCCTGCTTTACATATTTTCTGTTTATACAAATCCTTTCCCATCACCTCACAGGATTGAGACAACCCATCTCAACTTGGAGTATTGGTTTCTCTCCCTCCATCTGGTCTTTCTCATACAGGAGGAAAAAAAATCTGGGTGCTCTATTTCAGGGCTGTGTGTATAATAATTTTTCTTCTTTCAGTCATACTGGCTACTCCTCCTAAGATACCAGGAAGAGTAGTAGGTAAGAGGAAGCTTACATTGCATTTTTACAGGATTTTTTTATTACGTTTTGTTTTGGTTTTCCCACTTTGTTGCCAGGGAAAGCACTTCTGACCACTGCATAAGAAGAATGTCAGTCCAAAGAGGAGCCCAAGGGCAAGGAGGACATTGTGTTGATCATCTTTGTTCTGCTAAGAACTGATACATTAGAAAAGGTGCAACTATAGCCTTTTTACATGATTTGGTTACACTCACTTAAATTCCTCTTGAAATCATTGTATGATGAGATCCACATATTGTTTATACAAGGGAACCCTCAGTTAATGCCTCTTTTATATTTCCTCAGTTAATGCTTCCCTTACCTTTGCTATCTGCTATAAATATTTCTCATCTCATGTTGTTGGATCAAACTTTAAATTCAATTTTATTTTTAGTATTTACATGATGAGCAGTAGTTTAGATCTGTACAGAGATCAAGCATGCACTGCCAATGTCAGTCTGGAAGTGATGTGCATGGGTCTCTCCTCCCATGACCTGGCTTAACCTTCACTGGACAACATCTCTGCTGCCCTTTTTTGTCTGAAGGATGGTGCTAACACATTGAGGTACAAATGGGGCCACCTGAGAGGAAAAGGTATGTGGTACTTTTTTCAGCTCGTTTCAGAAAGCTGTAGTGATTTTACCTAGGTGGCTTCAAAACTATTAAAAAAAAATGCTGGATTTAGTTTGTCAGAACACAGCACAGGCAAATTATTTTTACAAGCACTAATAATTACAAATTAACGCTACCTAAAATATGTGAAAATCTGAACTTCATGTACAAGAAATCTGAAATCTACATAAACTACCATATAAAAAGCAGCAGATAAATAAGAAATCCTAAGTGATGGCCGTTTGGAAACCTATGGAGCTGTGAGATCTGCCCCATTTCAATGATTCAAGAGCTATTGTAGGTATTGTTAGTTGCCAACAGCTTATTTTTTCAATATCTGTCTTATTTTATGAACTGAATCACAGAATGCAAAGTATAATTTATTGGATAGAAAATGAGTTTTTAAAAATATTTTTGAAGTAAATTTTCAGCATAAACTGGGAATTTGGATTTTTATCCTGCTCCTTTCTGAAGGCTGTAAAATTCAAACTGGACAGCCGAAACCAGGACAATGGTGCTTTTTGTAGAGCAGACCTGAAGATGCGTGGCAGGAACAGGCTTTGAGGAAAGCTGCCAGCCTTGATTGTGGAAGTTTGGTACAGAACTGTGTGTTTCACTGCATGTCACATTTAAGCGACACCTGTTAAATTTTGCTGCCTAAAAAATATTTCTGTCATGCAAGGTAGCAAAATAGCACTTTTAGTTGTGTGTCCAGAATTCATCGTGTATTAAGAGCTTTCCTAAATTGGGGTTTTAGTAACTAGAAGAACAGAGGCTTCTTTAGGGATACTTTTTTACAAGCTGATATGTTGTTCTTATAGTGGAGTCTGCATGAGCTCCAAACTTTTGTCATTTATTGTTTTAAATTATGTGTAAGAAGGTAAAAGCAGTCCTGCTATGTGTAAAGCCTTGTCCTGCCAGGTGGTATCTGATGTCTCATGTCTGAGGCCCTGCACTTTCTTCCTGTTTCCCAGGTCATTGAAAGAAACTTCTGCCTTAGAGCAAACAGAACTTAACCACAGGACAGATGCCATGCTTCCCAGTCCTGTGTGCTGTGCACAGTACCTGATGATACCTGTGCAGGCTGATAGACTAATATGAATTGGTGATTTGTGCTGTTGATCCTTCTGGGTGCTGCTGCTGCCCCTTTGCACTCACTTACCTCTGACGTGTTCTGCAGCCTGCCAGGGTGCTTGCTGCAGCTTTTCTGCCAGCACCTAATTAGCTACTGTTCCCCACAGAAGCCATGTGGATGGGTGGAAGCACTGTGGGACACGAATGTGACAGATCCCAAAGCGATTCCAGCTGCTGCCAAGGCAAGTGAGGTGGTTGCCCATCATCCAGCCTCTTCATAGTGGAGAGGAAATGCTGGACATAAAAGATGAGGACCACTTGGTAGAACAGTGGCTGAGGGAAAAGGACATCCTGCTGCTTTCTGAAGTCTCCCTGCTGGCTCTTTCCTGTCAGTAGGGAACTAGCTTGGGGTCAGTTAATTATAATGATAAAGCTGGCCTACAGAGTCACATTCAGGAATGGTGCTGTCCTGCTGCTGCAATCACTGTGGGCTACCCCTTTTCATGCGTCATCATCCAGAGGTGGCACAGCTGCAGGTAAAGTAGTTTTCTACCTTCCGTCCTGAATACACGTGTATCTGTAAGGCTATGAGTGTTGTTCTAGCCAAAGCTCAGCCCTTCAAGGAAACCCTGAAGCCACTCAATAGAACTTAGTCTTATCTCCCTCTTCTTTCCTTAGATCCTGAGCCTCTCTTCATGAGGGAGTAGAATCCATAAACCTGCCCTCTCCAACTTGTTAGGCATGCACAGATTTCCTCAAGAGTGAAATGGAGGAGGGGACAGTCACACTCAGGACTTGAGAGATACAGAGGAAGGGGTAAGGAGGAAGCTTTGGGGTGGGCATGGGGAAGGGAGGGTGGAGGCTGTGTGCCTGATCCTCAGAGGGTGTGTAGGGTTCGTGGTGGTGACAGCCATACGAAGTAGTATGTCAAAGTTTCCTGCTGCTTCTGTTGTTTAACTCCAGTACTATGAAAGAGGAAGAGAGTTTCTGTGCAGCTGGAACACTCAGCACTGATTTTTGACTGTGGCAGCAAGTCCGGAGTCAGCAAGGCACAGTCGTGCCGTTCACGCACAACTTCTCTGTCAGGAAGCCTTAGTCTGGGGTGTCTGCTAAAGTCGTGCCAGATGTGTGGATGTGGCAGGTGTGACCCTGCTCTGTGAGAGAAAGGGTTGCAAGCTCTCAGGAAGACTGAAAAGATGGTCGGTTTCCCCTCCCACACCTTCCAATACTCAACAGTATTTTGTGCATTCCTTACTTCTTCACAGCAATTCCTAATAGATTTTTCAGGTTTTTTACTCCAGGGAGGAATGTCACTGATATTTCTGAGCACTGACAATAAAAGCGTTTCTCTGAGTTGTAACAGCTCACTGAGAACTTTTTAAAATTTATACATAAAAACATCTTTTTACATGTATATGGAGAAAAATAGGAACATAGAACTATACATATTACTTTGCACTTCTTGCCATTAGATTTCATATGCCATCTGAGGACCTAGTCAATTTGTAGTGACTGATCCTCAGTCACTTAGCAGTGTCTGATCCTCATGTTCTGGTCCCATACCTTGAGTTAACATGGTTAGTAGAGGTTCCTTGATGTGGTATGTGTGCTATGCTCTGTCCTGCATCAGCTTCGTGGAAAAGTATGTAAAGATCTGATTTTACCAAGATGACACAAATGGGGTCTTTGTCATCCAGACTCTTGCAGCTAATGGCAGAGGGTGTTTGGCAGTGTTTTTTCAATCATGGCTAATTGCAAGTGCATCTGTGGTAGACGAGGGTTGTAGGAGCCTGTGCTGGCTGAGCACTGAAGCAGGGGGCAGAGATAAGGAATGAGAGGAAGCAGAAGACTTGGCAGAGGTGCAGCTGAACTGATTGCTGCATCTGGGCAATGGTATGAATGAAGAGTCTCTGGAAATAATTGAAGTACTTTTGTTTCCAGTGCAGAGTATGAAAAGCCTTCCTGACCAGTTATGGAAGTGTAGGTAAGAAACAAACAAATATCACAGGATTATTCAGACAAATGGATGTCACTTAGCTGTTCCATATGCAAATGTGTGTATGTGTAGCTATAACACACAGAAGAATTGCTATGAGCAGTAAGTTGTCACAGGAGAATCCTCACTGCACAAGTGCTGGTCAAATTCTGCAAGACTGTAAAAATGAATGAGAAAAACATGTTATACATATTTACTTCTTCACATTATCAATCCTACTTACTTAAAATACAAATAAGCGTGATCTTCCTTTGCAAAGGAAGTAGATTTTGTGTTCACAGAAGAAATCTTCAAGAAACAAATGTTTTTCATCACACTGCATGCTTTATGATTGCTTAATGCTGATTTATGTGCTGATACTGTAAATTTGTGGGAAATGTCAAGTAGACTTAACCATCAGGGTCAGACCAATAGTAATATGGGACGCATTAATGAAAAAAACGTTTTGTTTCATCTTCCAACATGCAGCCTCTGCAGAATTAAAACAAAGGGCTGAAGCTGGCTCGTAAGGGGGATATATGAAGAATATAAAGGCGTTCTACAGGTCTAAGAGGGGCCAAATGCCTGATGACAGAATCCCTCAGCATAACACACAATCAAAAAAAAAAAGTTTGGTGCCCCAAACCAGAAACAGGACAAATTCAAAGTCAAATTTCAGAGTGAAAGTAGTCATGCACTCTTGAAAATATGCATTCTGGTTTTTAGGCTATAGTTTAACACCGCTGTGACAGAAGAAAAAGATTTTAAGATGATAGAGGCCTTGATTAAGGAATGTGGCACTCAGCCTCTCTGTTTTTCCAGCAGAGAGCAACATCCCTGCAAAACAATTCTGTTGCCAAAATGTTTCTTGATATATTATAATGTACGTAATCACAGACTTGCAGGCAGCTGGAGTTGTGCAATCTTTTCAGGCGGACTTTAGAGCGTTCTCAGGGATAAATAATATCTTCATAGATACAAATAAAGCAACTTTGAGCTGCTTATTCAAAATACTTGTCATATACCTGCTTTGAATACTGTCTTTAAAAAGCACAGACGTTTCTGTGTAAACATTAACTGTAGACCTGAATCAATCTATCACAGAAAGCATGTTTTTACAAGATGTTACTTTAAAAGGAAGAAAAAGGAGGAGCACCGATTTACGATATAATGTTTTGCGTTGTTTTTATTCCTTTTGGTAACTGTGGGTTACAGTATGGAAACTACAACATGATGCAACTCTCCTTGTTTTCCAGTTGGATTACTGAGGCTGCTTAGAGGGATATCTGTTTGAATTCAGTTATTTCTTATGAAACTTATGTGTGGATTAGGAGCCCATTCTGATGAAGTCTTGTTATCTGGTGCCTCAACTCAGTCCAGTGACTTAAGACTCTAGACCTGCTGGATCAGCTCCTTCCAGATGCCTTTTGACACGTGAGTACAAATTTTGCCTTACAATTGGCCTTGTCCTTCATGGAAAACAAAAATTCCAGGTTAGTGCTCTTGCATTCATTAACTTTTTGCTCTGGCCAGAAGACTTTGTTTTCTGGATATTTCCTTGTTTCAGTAGATATTGTGCTGTATATCATACTGGCTTTCCAAAACTACTTTGTAGGCAGGGCAACATATTGTTCCAGAAGACAAAGCTGAATATATTGGGTAAGTAATTTCTTCTCTTATTTTTTATCTTTTTTAAAAAAAAAAGAATTAAAAGATGATCAGCCTGCTTTTTGTATCATGCATCATGTCATACATTATTAGAAAAGCCACAGATATATAATTCTCTGGTTAAGAAGAATAACTGAGTTGAGAAATACTTAGCAATGAGTAGATTAAATTTAGAAGAAAATATATTTTTAAAAAGTTAACAGATGAACTTTAGGTTGTTTGAAATGAAATGACACCTATGATTTTCAGTTAAATACCACTATTTGCTAGTCTCCCCACACAGTCTTTCTGTTTTGGCAAGTTATGCCACGAGAATAAATGTCTTTGTGTATAGTGTTAGTAAAAAGTGTCACTGGGGCTTTCTAAATTAACAAGAAAGAATAAGACCACATTTGTTTTGCATAAACATCTGGGAAAGTTTTGTTCTTAGTTTGTGACACATGGATGAAGGATTTTTTTTTTTCTCCAACCTTTTGTCTTATTCCTATCCCAACTTTCTAAAGAATAGAGAGCAGCTGATATTTAAGCTGCCTGCTTCTGCCTGCAAATGACCTCAGTTGGGGTTGTTTGGAGAAACCACATTCCAGGAGATTCTGGGATCTTCTTTCTTGAAAGCTGTCGTTGATTTTAGTATTCATGCTATGGTAATAAAAACAGCAGCTAAAGGCAAGGCTAAACTGAGAGTGAGAAAATAGGCTATTCATATTAGCGTTAACTTACGCGTCCTGGTGAAACAGATGTGTGCTTATTTGTTGCAGCAGCTAGAGAGTCACTATTCAATTACAGTAGCCCTTCTGCCAAAAGAAGCAAGCATATCACATACCCCCTGATAAGCTGCTACCTTCTCTTTTTAATACCTTTCATAAATTTTGACTACTAGCTTCTTTCTCAAATATCCTCTGTGATTTGCTTAGGAGTTGGAATAGACTGCTGGGGGTGGAACAAGTTTCTTCCATGGGAAAAACCATCTTCTGATCATAGTAATGCAATTGGAGCATGTGAAGCATTAATTCATTGAATATTTTTCTAAACATAAAATTTAAAAAACAAAAGGAAATATGCTCATTTCCTATTGAGTGGGATATGTTTTCTTCAGAGGAGATCAAAGTGGATTTGTTGTTGTTTGGGTTTTTTATTATTATTGCTAGGAGTGTTTTATTTTATGCTCTTCCTTCATAATGCATAATCTTGTTTTCTTTGCTTGATCTCCTCTCTCACTGGAAAATGTTCAACAATATAATCTGACATGAATACTCCTTTCAGGACCTATTGATGCTCATGCTCAGCAACAGTGTTTTGAAGTTTGATCTACACATTTTTGGTCACGTTGAAAACTGATAGCTCATCTGATTTCATGTTCCAATAGCTATTAATATAAAAGTATATAGTTGTGAGTTGTTTTTCTTTTTGGTTAATCTGCTACAGGCAGGAGAAAATTACCCAGAGTGTCCTTGGAGAAAATAAGAGACTGCTCATGACTTTTAAATAGGCTTTCTACACATATATTGATTTCTAATACAAACACAATTAAAATACGCTAGATTATGGTTTAAAATGTCATCTTTAATGTCATTACTTTTTTAACTGAAACTAGAAAATATTGGGGGTTTATCAGTTTTATGACCGGTTTGACTTTGCTATGATCATTGATGGCATAGCAGACTTTCATTATTGAGAAATTAAGTGGCATAGACAGCAATCACCTAAAGAAAAGGCCATGAAATTATCTGAAATAATAGTAAGGAGTAAATTTGATGTCCAGCATGTTCCATCATCTTTGATAGGAGATGACTTTCTAAATACCCTCAGTTTCCAAGGGAATCTGCTGAAAGAAACAATATTTGGTGTCTGAGAGAGATGCTCTGATTTATTTATTAGTATTTCTTGAATTAAAAGCAGAGAATTTCAAATTATCCTAACAAACAGAGGAAGCTCAGTCACTCTGGAAGTCTATGTACCTGTTCAGACAATGTCACACTTTGAGAACACCTGACCAAGCCTTGCATAATCATTTGGCAAAGGTTAATTACCTCCTCAAGGAGGCAATCACTCATGAGGCTTTAGATCCCTAGAGGATGGGAATTGTCTGAGAAAATCCTGCCCGGTCAAACCAGTCCCGCACTAATTTATGGAAGAACTGTCTTTGGTTTCAACTCAGGTTTTCAACTACTGTCAAGCTGTCCCTTCTTCCCTTATTTTTCTGTATGCCTTCTGGCAGTGGCTTGACTAAAAAATGAGCTATTAAGAATTACCTGTATATGGCTCTATTATTTTCTTTAACTTCTCAGGTGTCGGTCTACAAGTTCCTTTCTGTTGCTCCTTGTGCATACAGCTGGGAGGTAAACATAAGATTTCAAAGGATTTAGGACCATTATGCCTGTCTGTGCTTTGAAGGCATTCTGCTTTTTCTCTGAGAGGAAAACTTTCCTCCATTTTTTGAGGGGATTTCTAAGGAAGGGCAGGACCTGCATGAAAACAGGATTCTGAAGTTCTGTAGTAGAGATCACTTGCTGACACAAGGTACAGGCAAGTGTTTGCAGCTGTTTCATTTAGCGTGCTGCAGCCTCTGAGGCACATCAGCATGTTGATGCCTGTCTGAATCTCTGATTTCCAGAGAGCAGTAGTTCTTTCTGTTTGTCACAGTCTATGGGGACCAAGAGAGCAGGAACATTCCTTCATGTCAGGAATATTTTATGTATTGCTCTTCAGACTTCATACACAAGAGCTACTAAAATACCTGTACTTATATCTTTGATACCATAAAGTATTATTATTGCAGTAGGGTTAGCCTTTAAATTCTCAACCATGCTAAAGCAGAATGCCAAAATGCAAAAAAAAACTTCTTTTTTTCCATTACTGCATAAATTAAATCTTTCCATTCTCAGGAAGCTGCTCTCATTTCCTCTCTGCTAGAGGATTCACCATAAGGATTCGTTACTTTTTAAAATACAGGATTTTCCAACTGAAAATGGCCACTCCCCTGTAAGAAGTCAACTTGTTACAACTCTGATAGTTGTCCCCAGCACGTCAGCCCTCTCAGATCTTAGCTTATACTGGCTCTCACTTGGATTATGTGCACCCTCAAAAAGTGATCTGCAGAGATGCACAGACAGAAAACAGTCATGCTTGAACAACTAGGCTTTTTAGCTTAAACTTTTTGGCCCACCAGTTCGACACAGAAACAGCAGTGATGGTCCCAGAAAGGGATGATGGTAGCATGAGGGTGAAGTGACAGTGATGACAGTAGGGCCAGAATATGGGTGAAGTTCAGTAGGAACAAAATAGCAAAAGTTATAAATGAGGAAGAGGGTTAGACCATGGCAATAGACCTTGGGCATATCCTCAAATTATTTTCATCACTGCCTGTATTCTAACAGCAGTAAATTCTTTACCCATTTGACTAAAAATTATTCTCCTTTTGCTATTACACAGGAAGATTTGTACAGGAGACTATTTCCTATTTTCCGCTGACTGACTTAATAGTGTGAAGACTTTGCTGAGAACTAGCTTGAGTTGTGCCTCAGTCAAACCTTGTTTATTTAAGGAAGACATAATCTTGAATAAAGAAATCAATAACAGCTTCAACATTGCAACCCCACTGAATGAAATCAGTGCACTGTCAAAGCTAGTGGGAATATTGCTATTGGCTTGGGGGAGCGGGGGAGGGACAGGCAGAAGCTGTTTAAAAAATTTTGTTCTCAAATTTTTACTTTCTTGCAGATTTTCAGCTGATATGAAATGGGGTAACAACTACAGTGAAGTTACACATCTTGGTTATGGAAATAGAATCTCTTATCCTTTGATTTTTCAGGCTTTACCTATTCATGGACTAAATTCAGGGTCTGGTTAAAAGTTTTGCTAATGTGACATCTCTCAAAGTACAGAAGTTTGAACTGTTTCTTCTACTTGTTTTTCTTTCAAAATGGTTTCATCCACAGTCACTTATTTATGAAAGAAATATTTCCCTACACGGCTCTCGTTACACATTTTTAGAGATCTAAAACAATATTTTGTTAGCGCAAGAGAAGAAAAGCATACGCAAAACACTGTGTTACCTAAGAAAATTATTTAATCTTTACCTTTGTGCTCTCATGAAAGCTACAGATTGTAAAAGTTCTACTAGACTCAGGTGGCATTGCCAGTTTAAATTCTCGAATTTGCTTTCTCTACCAGGTCATCCATACAAGACATCGAAGTTCAGGTTTGATACCATTTATACAAGTTACCCATACTATTACTAACCTACCAATTGCTTTATGTATCCTACTTTCCAGGAAAATAACTTTATCTCATTTATCAGTGAGACTTCATTTCAGGAAAACTAATAGCCATTGTGTTTGATCACTACTTGCATAGCTCCACATTCACATCATATCAGTAACAGCTGCATTTTAAATTTTCACTCCCTTTGGGCTGTACCCACTTAAACATTTGTGCCTTTTGGCTCAGAGACAGAGTTCTGAATGACCCACATTTAAAACAAATAATAATAATTCCCAGATCAGGCATAAAAAGCACGTGGTGATTTTAAACCGGCTCTGCTGCCAAAGTAATATTAATACAGAGTTCTGCTCAAATTTCTAGCATGTTGCTGTCCTGATGGGCTCCAGACAGCTGCTATCATGGGAGGGGGTTTCTGCCCACATTTCACATAGCCATGGAAAGCAGAAACAGAGCCAGGAGGTTCTGGAAGTATTAGCTCATATTTTGGGGTGAGGGGGGGGAGGGTGTGACTTCTTTAGAAAAATTGTGCTAATAGTAGGAAACTGGAAATGTGTATCAAGAATTTTAAAGTAGATATATGACTGATGTATTGGATGCCTGAAATTCCTCCCCCTTAGACCAAGGTGAGTTTTTTTTATTTTTAGAAGGACAAAGGTAGAAGTAAGAGCAGTCACCTGAGTGTGAAGAGGAGGTCAGGAAAAAAAGATAGGAGACTTGGCAGTCGCTCTTGAACACCTATGGCAAGAATTAATGTTCAACTTCACTCCAGTGTTTCCGCAGTTTTCCTGTAGTTAGAGAAAGTGCCATTGGGATGAGAAAAGCTTTTAATCTTTAAAGAGAGTTTGACATCTTTTAATCTTTAATACCTAACAGGTCTCATTAGTTATTTGATCAACTAGGAAACTGAGTTGCACCCAAAAAAGCTGGAAAACACATAGAATTATAAATTATTCAGGCTGCTAAAACAGACATACTTTAAAAAAAGAAAGCAAATCTTTCAGGAAGTTTGGGGAGGGCAGGTTGTTTGTTTTAAACTGGCCATTGACCCACATTTTAACAACATAAATAAATTTGTGATCAAGTGGTTTTGGCCAGTGTCATGAGGAGAAGCTTTGTTCTACTTAAAGAAGTTGGCTTTAGCTCATAGGATTTTGAGACTTTTCTTTGGAAGTGTTTTAGAGTGTGTGTGGACTGGGGAATGGAAGGAGAAATACATTTCTTTTGAGACAGTCACCAAAAAATATCCATTGTTCTAAGTAAGCATCGTTATGAGTCAGCAGGACCAAAGAAATTAACAGTCTCAACTGTTACATTTTCCTATCCCCAAGGACCTCAGCCCCAGAAGAGTGCAATGTGTGCACAAGGCTGATTTATCAACACAATTTCACAGTTACATCATTTTTCCCAGCTCCCAGCGTTACTGGGATCTTGCCCTGCGAGTACTGAAGTAACAGGAAGCTTTTACAGTCATGTTTTGTTAAACTCCCTTATACAAAAGCGTTCCAGGAACAGGGTGTTCAAAACTTGATTCCAATGCATACCAGTGGCTTCTACCCAGAAGTCAAGTGAGGTTAATAACTAAACAAGCTGCATTATTCGCTGCAGCAGCAATCTCATCTCTAGGAATAGCTAAAGCGCTTTTTTTTTTTTTTTTTTTTTTTTTTTATCCTCATATTAACCTCCTGAGGGTGGAGTTCTTGAGTATCTTTTTCTCTTTTGTTCCTCAGCAGATAATTTTCAGATAGGTGTGATTTGATGAAACAAATAATAATGAAGTAAAGTTCTTCCTGAGATAAGACCAAAATTTAGGAAGAGGTGTAGCTGTGTGTGACATTCCAGCTGTATTGGAACATGTTTCCATGGGTACAGTGTCTCTTTTTTTCTAAGATATCTTCCAATAACTTAACATAGACTTACAATTCAAGATAAATTGTAAAAGTGAACTCAGAGTTCATGAAAGATTCAGAATCTATAGCCAAAGACAGTGGCCTCACATTTATAAGGTACAGAACAGCGACAGTTAAGAAAATCCACTAGTATGTGGTTCCTGGACTGCAAAAGCAAAATAATCGCTCTTTGTGCCATTTATGCCTTGTATGCTAATTATCTTATCTGTGTCTCTGATGCCATGTGTTACAAAAGATGTTCTCTCCTCTTGTTTTCAGGTAATGATAGTTGAGGATGGCAGCCCCCTGGCGAATATGCTGTAATAAAAAATCCAAAACTAAGAGTGGAAAAGCTGAAATGGACAATATGGCAGACACAAGTGAAAAAATGCAGATGAAAAAAGAAATCACGTTACTAAATGGAGTTTCTTTAATTGTAGGGAACATGATTGGCTCTGGGATATTTGTATCCCCCAGAGGTGTTTTAATGTACAGTGCTTCCTATGGACTCTCTCTAGTCATCTGGGCACTTGGTGGAATGTTTTCACTGTTTGGAGCTTTGTGTTACGCTGAATTGGGAACATCCATTGTTAAATCTGGAGGCAGCTATGCCTATATCCTGGAAGCATTTGGTGCCTTCATGGCCTTCATCAGACTGTGGTCTTCCTTGCTCATTATCGAACCAACAACCCAGGCAGTGATAGCAATCACGTTTGCTAACTACATTGTTCAACCAATTTTTCCTCATTGTGAGCCGCCGTATGATGCAGTCAGGCTGATTGCAGCTGCTTGTATTTGTAAGTAAAGGTGGATTCCTGGAAGTTAAGAACTATAATTATAGGTGCCCAGAGGATTTTTTTTTAAATTTCTATTCCTTCACCTTTATGAAAATAATTACTACCTCTCTAAAACATGTTCTTAGGAACGAATAATCTTTTATTCAGATGGATTTTGTTTGTAGCTAGGATTATTAGAGGGGGGAGAAGAATTACAACAATTTGGCTGGGGAAAACTGTGACTGCTGATTAAAGATACATATATCTCTATGGATCATTGACCTAATTTTGCAGCCCACATTTGGTCCATTCATCTCTTCCCTATTTCTTGCAAATGAGAAAAAAATAACAAAAATCTTAAAATGGATATGGAATTAAAAATATTCTGTCTAATAAGAGTTTTGTCTCTGGAAAAATGGTGTCGTGTAATCAGACACTCCACAGAGTTGACTTTGTCATGACTGTATATCTTAGGTGACCACAGGAATAAGTGTTACCAATCTATCCTCCAGTAGATGAACTGCACTCAGATTCTTCTCCTTATAAACGTAGATTTGCCAGGATGGAGTGTGTGTTCCTTTTAGGCTGTGCTATAACATGATCTTTTAAAAATGGCTTAAATTGTACAAAGCTTCCAAAAGGATAAGTAATTTTAACTTGAGATAAACTGACAATTCTGAGATGTTTTGTCACCCTGATTCTTGGCACTGCAGTGCAGAGGAAGTTCACTTCTGAAAAAGAATCCGTGTTAGAACTTGAGACCGTCAGGACCACTCAGCAACCTAAAAGGCAACTAACCCTGTTCCAAAAGACTTTGTGACTCGCACAGGAAAGCAGTTATTTATTAGATCTAAGTTTCTTTTCCTGGTGTTCTAGGTGTACCACATGAAATCCTAACACTTAAAGTCTTCAAATGGTGATGTTTCTTTAAGCCTTCATTTTCTTAGTTATTCTTGCTGTAGTTTTCATGTGATTCAGCTGTGTGTTCTAGCAGCTCTGATTTCTTGAGCTGATGCCCAAGGTGTGGCTGGCAGCTGCCTCTTTCTTATACAGCTTTCTCATACCCCTTCTATGTTTTTTTAAATACCAGAATAAAACCAAAATTCTGTCCCCTTTGCACAACAATGGTATATTAATAAGAAATAGTGGGAGCAAATCAGGTCCCGTTTCTGTAAGGTCTGTTATTACCCTGACAGCTGACAGGACAGTGTCAAATATGCAGAGTTGCTCACGATAATGAAGGCAAGGACTTCTGAGAGCATCTGCAGTTGGATGCTAATTTCCCTACTATATAGAAAGGATTCTCAGTGGTTCATTTGAAGCATTACAAACCCCTTTTTCTTCCTTTCAAAATGAAAGTGTAGATTGTAGGCAGGTCAAAGTAACAGAAGGAAAGACCAGCAAGACTGCTGGAGAAGAAATAGACCATAGTGATCCATGCTTGAGAGTGCTCTGGACATCCCATGCTGCATTTGGCCTGCTGTCTTCTCCAGCACCTGGGTTTCATACCTGGTACCTATGCATGCCCTTTCCTCATCTACCTCTGTTTTGGAGTTGCAAGAGAGAAGTTTGCTGTGACGCCGTGTGTGTGTGTGTGTGTGCGCTAGAGCAAGAGGAGGTGAGTAGGTGGCTCAGCCCCTGGCCAGACCTGCCGTCAGCTGAGCAGCAGGGCACATCACAGTGCTTTATCCACTCATTGGGGTTTAACGTCTGCAGCAAAACTGAATGCAAAGAAGGAAGTACTTCTGTAATGTTCAATCGCAGGGTCAAAGTGTGAATAGCACAGCTCCTAAGCTATGGACACAGGGTAACGGCGTACTGGCCTGGCTCTACTCGATATCTTGTCAACCACTTCCAAAATTTCTGGTGCAAAATCTGTACTTACTCTGCATGTAGACTAGAGCTCAAATTCACAGGGAGAACTTCAGGACAAACTTTACCCTAAATAAAAGATTTAAAGAAATCTCACCTTCTGCCTGTGAGCAACTCTGCTAACTTTAGTAAAATTTAAAGATTATTTAAAAGGAGCAGGAGTTAGTCTTAAAATTCAAAATCGTGATGTATTTTGTCTTACCTGCTGTCATGAAAACAGTATCCTCCAGAAAATTATTGTGTTGCTTTTAAATCAGGTATTTAATTTACAAATAGATCATTCAGGATGTATTTGAAATGTGCTTTATGGATGTAAAATATCATTGCTCCTCTCATGCATGTTCTTTTTTTCTACAGGTTCCTTAACATTTATTAATTGTGTTAATGTGAAGTGGGGAACCCGTGTACAAGATGTTTTCACATATGCAAAAGTTATGGCTCTTATCTTGGTGATATCAGTTGGCCTTTACAAAATTGGTAAAGGTAAGAATATTTTTCATTTACTTAAATTTTTATGAATGAACTGTTTATCAGTTTCAGTGGAGGAATATCAGACACATTAAGACTTACATATGAATTGTTATTTAATCTGAAAAAAACTGTCTGACATAGGTAGATTAGAAGGAATTTATGGCTTGTTAAGCAATGGGGGTTTAATTATTCTTCTCCCTTAGCATGGCAAACCAACACACACTAAGTTCTGCATTGCACAGGCTGAATAGCAAATAGCAGCCGAATTAACATCACAGAATCACCGAGTTATCTAGGTTGGAAAAGACCTCAAAGACATTGACAGTTCCCAGCTACACCAGATCCCTCAGCGCTATGTCAGCTCTACTCTTGAACACCTCCAGGGATGGGGACTCCACCACCTCCCTGGGCAGCCCATTCCAACCCCTAACAACCCGTTCTGTAAAGAAATGCTTCCTGACATCTAGTCTAAACCTTCCCTGGCGCAACTTGAGACCATTCCCTCTTGTCCCATTGCTTGTTACTTGGTTAAAGAGGCTCATCCCCAGCTCTCTGCAACCTCCTTTTAGGGAGCTGTAGAGGGCGATGAGGTCTCCCCTCAGCCTCCTCTTCTCCAGACTAAACACCCCCAGTTCCCTCAGCCGCTCCCCGTACGACCTGTGCTCCAGACCCTGCACCAGCTCCGTTGCCCTTCTCTGGACACGCTCGAGTCATTCAATGTCCTTTTTGTAGTGAGGGGCCCAAAACTGAACACAGGAATCGAGGGGCGGCCTCACCAGTGCCGAGTCCAGGGGTCAGATCCCTTCCCTGTCCCTGCTGGCCACGCTATTGCTGACACAAGCCAGGATGCCATTGGCCTTCTTGGCCCCCTGGGCACACTGCTGGCTCCTGTTCAGCCAGCTGTCAATCAGCACCCCCAGGTCCCTCTCTGACTGGCAGCTCTCCAGCCACTCCTCCCCAAGCCTGTAGCGCTGCTGGGGGTTGTTGTGGCCCAAGGGCAGCCCCCGGCATTTGGCCTGATTGAAACTCCTCCAGTTGGCCTCAGCCCATGGCTCCAGCCTGTCCAGGTCTCTCTGCAGAGCCTCCCTGCCCTCGAGCAGATCAACACTCCCACCCAACTGGGTGTCATCTGCAAACTGACTGAGGGTGCACTCGATCCCTTTGTCTAGATCATCAATAAAGATGTTAAACAGGAGTGGCCCCAACACCGAGCACTGGGGGACACCACTCGTGACTGGCCACCAACTGGATTTAACTCCATTCACCACAACTCTTTGGGCCCGGCCATCCAGCCAGGTTTTAACCCAGCAAAGCGTGTGCCCATCAGAGACAGTGTCAAAGGCCTTGCTAAAAGCAAGGTAAACTATATCCACAGCCTTTCCCTCATCCAATAAGCAGGTCGCCCTGTCGTAGAAGGAGATCAGGTTTGTCAGGCAGGACCTGCCTTTCATAAACCCATGCTGACGGCCTGAACATCTGGTTGTCCCACATGTGTTGCATGATGTTACTCAGGATGAGCTGCTCCATCAGCTTCCCAGGCACCGACGTCAAGCTGACAGGCCTGTAATTTCCCAGATCATTCTTCTGACCCTTCTTATATATGGGCATCACACTGGCCAATTTCCAATCAGTCAGGACTTCCCTGGTCAGCCAGGACTGCTGGTAAATGATGGAAAGCAGCTTGGGGAGCACCCCAGCCAGCTCCTTCAGCACCCTCGGGTGTATCCCATCCAGTCCCATAGACTTGTGTATGTCTGTGTGATGCAGCAGGTCACTGACTGTCTCCTCCTGGACTGCAGGGGGGTCGTTCTCCCAGTCTCTGTGTTCTGTCTGAGGAGGCTGGATTCCCTCAGTACAACTAGTCTTGTTATTAAAGACCTCAGCCTTCTCCTCATCACTCATTACCATGTTTCTTCCTGCATCTTTCAGGGGATGGAGGGTCTTCCTTGTCTTTCTTTTGCTGTTGACAACATCAGTTTAGTGCTAACCAGTTTAAAAGCCAGCTTCAGTGTTTCTGACATGCTTGTTAAGGGCTCACATCGCTACTTGTCCTATGACAGGAGAGCACAGCAGAAATTGCTGGACACATCCTTCATGTACTCCTCACCACTCCCCCTCCCTGCTCTCCCTAACCTGCTGTGCTGGTTTAGGCCCTGCCAGGGCCAGAGACCACGTTGCTGTTGCCCCTCCGCCCCCCTCAGCCAGTCGGGCTGGCAGTGAGGCACAAACCCCGGGGTGGGAATAAAAAGAGATTTAATACAACAGTGTGATAAATAACAATCTGAACAACAACAGTAGCAATGATAACAACAATAAACAGTAAACAAGACAGAAGATATACAGAGAAATACCGCAATGGACACAGCCAGCCCACGCGCCTGCTTCCCGTGGCTTTCGGACCTGACATCAGCATGGTATGAATAACCCGGCTGGAGATCACTTCCCCCTGCTTAGGATAAACTTAACCCTATCCTAGCTGAACCAGGACACCTGCCTGGGGCAGAGAGCCACCACAGCACACTGCGAGGGGAGAGGATCCAGGAGAGAGGGACTTGTCCTTTGCTTCATCGGTGAGAAGGCATCCTTGATTCTGGAAACAAGAGAAAAGACTGTAATGTTGCACTCCTATGAATCACTGCAGTACTGTAAAACATCACAGGACAGATGATCCAGCCTGTACCAGCAGCAACTAGACTGAACTGAATATACTGAATAGCAGGAGTGTTCTGGTGCTACCAATAATCTTTGCAAATGACAACAGATAATATTTTATTAATTTGTGTCTCTGGTACAGTGAAGACTCCTCCAGCTCTAGCTCTGTTGCTTAGTTTTCTTCATTTTCGTTTCCCATGAAATTCTGCAACAGCCATTGTTATTCAGTTAAAACAAAGGTGGGGTTTCGTCTTCGGTTTAGGAATTGTCTTTTTCTCATGCTGAAACTAGCTTATAAAACCTAATGAGCATGATTGCTTTTCTGTGTTTGCTGGCCTTCTTTCCTTGGCTGCAGTTCTAATGCATCAGCTGTTAGCTACACCAGACTTTAAGAGAGCTTTTTTGTTTACCTATTATCTGTGCATGCCAGTTGTCACTGGTTTTGTTCAAGTCTAAAGAAACCTGAACAAATGAACCCAGTTCTAAGGGCAGGAATGTGAAGATGCAGAGGAAAAACATTGCTTAAGGGCCACAGTTACATAAAGGAGTAGTTATGCTCATAAAGCTGCAGATTTTCCGAGTTGCCCTCATAAAGTTGCAGTTTTAGAAAGGTGTGAGTCCATGATGTCACCCCTATAACAGTTTTGCCCTATCCTCACAGTGATAAATTTAGTCATGCGTTCAAATAGTCTCCCTCAAAATTCTCAGCCCACTTGCTGGCGTATGGCTGTCATGATGTGGTTTGGCCCAGGGGCTGTTCCCTCTGCTCATGCATCTGCCAGGTCCTTTGCATTACTCCATGGGGTCACAGAGGATAAAGGCAGAGAGGAAACATTATTGAAAGGAATGAAAACTGCTGAGGCCTTTTTGTGGTAGGTCTCATCTTTGATTTGTTTAAACAAAACTGAGCACTTAAATAAAGACTGCGAGGAGGAATGATGTAGACCTCTGGAGGAAATTGTGATTGTGTCAATGTGTTCTTTTAAACTCCACAACTGTTTTAATGAAAAGAACAGTTATGGCGTTTTAGCCCTGTTGTGTTCCTTCTGGTGTGCTCAGATACACTTATTGTTTTAAAACACTGTGAATGTATCTGATTTTGAGAATGAGCTGTCTTTAGCAAAAAAAAGCTTTTAGGCTTTTCTTGGTCCTTTTGGATTTTTCTTTTTTTCCTTCCAACCATTTTCTTCCCCAAAGTGTGTGTACATCTCATAGCTTCACCTTCCTTGGTTCAGTTTCCCAGTAGTTACTGCTTTTTAAAGACTGAATTGCTTTTTTGGTATCTGTAAACTCCTTACTTTAACCACAGAGTGAAATTGTTTAATTTTACAACAGACCTTACTTTCTTCCCTAATAGAGGTTTCAGCATGTTTCTGTCTTCCTTAATACTTAACCCACTTCCATTTATATTAGACAGTCGACTTTCCTTCTGCAAACTCGCTAAGGCCTTTCTTCCCCTTTCCAGAATTGAAATGAAGGCTCACACAGTTTCATTAACATTTCATCTGTTTTGCAGCATTCTGCAGGTTGTTGTCTCAACCTATTGAGATAAACTAGAGGAGAATTTTGAAAGGAAAGATTTTACAAGTCTCCTCTCTTAATTTTGGGGAACAACTTTGTGGGGCAGAGTATCCCACTGAGAACTATGCCTCCGGAAGTTCCCCTCCAGTGGCGACTAATTCGTCTGGTGAAAACAAAAGCACAGATATGAGGAAGAAATTTGAAACAGATTCAGGAACTGAAATTTGCTTTCCCAAGTGACTCTGCCTAGCTGACAGGGTATAGCATGGCCTCAGTATGGCTCCCTCCTTCGGTAGGCTAGACAGCAATGACAGGATATGAGGACACCATGAATTCTGTTAGAATTACACAATTCACTTCTAAATAAAAAATATGGGAAAACATCTGCTGTCTCCCTGTACAAGTGTAGATGTTTGAACATCTGACTGAAACTTTCCTATTTGTCACGTGAAAATATAACCTGTGTGCTTTTAGAATGAATCCTGGATGCGGTGGGATTTTATTTCCTTTTGGTTAGCTGAGACTTCTAGTGCAGTGTCCTACATCATAATCCTTGAAATGTAACAGGCCAGGCAGTTGGTACCTTCCATTTGTGCAGGAGAAACGGAAAACCTGAGAGCTCCATTCGAGGGTTCAGCAACAAACCCAGGGATGATCGCTCTGGCTCTCTACTCTGCCCTCTTCTCCTACTCAGGATGGGACACGCTCAACTACGTCACTGAGGAAATGCAGAATCCTGAGAGGTAAATGTGTATTTTTCCTTTGAATGACTGAAGTGTCCTGGTAAGGAAGGTGATGGCAGGACAAGCCACTCTGTATTTGTTTATGATTGGAAATTAGTCAAACTATTTTTTCTGTAAAAACCTTCTTCATTTCAAAAGAAGGACTAAGTATGAGAATTCTTCCTGATTATTGTCCTCACTCACGAATTGTATCACACTAATAAATCATTTGTCTGCATATATGTATTTTACACCTTAAGCTTCAGACCGGAATTTTTGAAGGAGGACAACAAATCCCTCCTGAAAGCAGGGAAAAGTGTGGATCCATCTAGCCCTCTAAAATTCCCTACCTCTTTTCAGTCAGACAGAACAATTTTTTTTTTTTCAGGACTGTTTTTGCCACCAGTGGAGTAAGACTGTGTCAGGTTATGAAGATCATGTCATCTTCAACATTACTGTTTCTGGGCAGAATGTTTAATTTTGTTAAAGATAAAAGGTTAAGTAAAAAATAAAAAATTCCACAGTAGAACTGGAAATATAATCTTCCCACAAGGTTGATATCCCTACAGAAGGAGTTGTGTGCCTCACCTACTCAGACTGATACAGTCCACCTTGTCTTGGGACATGCATAGATTATGAATCAGGAAAAGAATGCTACAATTGAGAAGACGTCTAAGTGTGCATTTAAATCTCCTTGCTTAAGTGCTCTCTTAAATTGCTTCATATAAAGACAGTATATAAAATTTACAGGTATAAATGTACTTTTTTTTTTTCTCTAAAATTTGTGACAAACCTACAAGCAGCCAACTAAGCTGCTCATGGAATTGTTCCACACATGGCTGCACATTATTTTGTAAATGCATGATTACAAAATGATGGATTAGAAAAAGTGTTGGAGGTATCCATTCACAAATGTTTGAATTTGGGAACAATCTTCTGTTTAAATATTCCTTGTTTAAAGAACATGAAATAATTTTGACATTTTCCTTTTTCAGGAATCTGCCACTTTCCATTGCAATTTCAATGCCTATTGTGGCTATTATTTACTTGTTGACTAATATAGCATACTACGTAGTGTTGGACATGTCAGCTCTCCTCACGAGTGATGCAGTGGCTGTGGTAAGTTGTGTAAAATAATTAAAACAAAAGTTACTGTATGGATTACACTGCAGAAAAATCTCAGGTAGCATACTTCTTGGCAAAACAATTGAAATATTTCCTTGCTGAAGATTGCTTTGTTTTAAACTTCATTTTCATGTAAGAGTATCAGTATGTTAGAAGGTGCATACAAAGAATATAGCCAATAAATCTGCTCTTGTAAAATCCTATTAGATACTCTGTAAATCTGTCTCCTAACAGTACTTCATCGTAGAAGATGCTTTTGCCAGGCCTAGACAGAGAAGAGCTATGGAAAGTCTGGGTGGTTTAAGAACCAGGGGGTTTTGCTATCATTCTCATGTACAGTGTGTGATGTTTAATGCTGCAGGATCACAGAATATTTTCAGCACAAATATATGCAGTGAAATGCTTTTTAAAACCTTATACATATTTTAGACATATGAACAATTATAACTCATGAATTACTACAGTCAGGATTTGTCAGAATACATTAAAGCAAATACATCTTCAGTTATCTCATTGACTTTATCTAGGCTTAGAAAATTATTTTTTAAATATTTTTTAATGTATCTGCTGTTTTTACTTCGATACTGATCAGTTTTTCCAAATTCTAATTTTCCAAGTCAATATCAGGTGTCATAAGAAAACATGGGCTACGACACTGTATTTGGGCTGGTGCGTTTTCACGAGAGTTTATCAGGATTTTCCATATGCTTAACATAATGGGCCTCACTATTATTTTCTTTTTCTGTTACAGACATTTGGCGGTGAAACCCTCAGTTATGCGAAGTGGATAATTCCTATAGCAGTGGCCATGTCTTGCTATAGTGGCTTAAACTCATCAATAATAGCAGCATCTAGGTATGAAGTATAAGATTTATTTTAAATGATTGAAAAGGAATAATTTATTCTTAATCTGCATTCTTACTGCTGCATTGTAAAAGTGACACAGTTAATTTTTGCCATGTCAAGTTGTTAATTTGTGATAGAAGGATTGTTACAATCTGACGTGTCTTTCTTATGGTCAGCATCAACTGGAAACTAAAGCCACTTGACAAGAGCAGCATTTACAACAGAGTAATAAAAGAATTAATGCTGCTTTTTTTGGAATGCAACAAACTGTTCCTTGGCTACTGTCTGGCTGAGTTTTCTTATTCTTTTTTTTTTTTTTAGACTTTTCTATGCTGGAGCCAGGGAAGGACACCTCCCTGACAGTCTGAGCTTGATTCATGTGAAATGTTTCACACCAGTCCCTGCTCTCCTCTTCAATGTAAGTGACAGCCCAGCCCTGTGCCTGGCCAGGGCAGCCAGGGGCTCGGATCCAGGGAGTATCACACCTCACCTCCATCCAGTGCTTCTTCCAGGCTTCTCCTGCACTGAAGACATCTTCCTCAAATGCCCAAAGTTTCTAAAACTCATTGAGGGGGATGAGGGTGTTATTTTGTCTGGTGGTATTTTATACAGTGGAAAGAGAATGGCTTGATTCACATTCATATGTTCTCTGAACAAGATTAGTGAGAAGTACAGTAGTATTACTTGGAAAACAGAGAATGGCTGAATATGTAATAGTATAGACCAGAGTTGTTTAAGTCGTTATGTGAGTTTTCAGAGTGTCAGTGGAGAAGAACATGTCAAGAACATCTCTCAGACTTGGCTATAGGCTGATTTTCTAGAACTCTAGTTATCCAGAGTGACAAAGCACTTAAAATTAAATTCCTACCATTGGATGCCTATAGCAATATTGACTTTTTCCTGCTGTCACTACTCAAATGAATCTTGTGACAAAAAATTGAGGAATCATAAGGCATAGAATTAGTGCAAATTATTTTAATAATCCATAAATCTAACAGATTAAATTAAGAGGGAGGATATGCACAAACAGAGAAGGTAGAATCATTCAAAAGGATTTCACTGCTGTTCATTTGAACATGTATTTCATTTAGTGTCTTCCATTGCCCTGTGCTATTCATATGGTTTATGAATAGCTTATCATGCCCGTCCTGTTTGACATCAAATACTTTACTAAATAATCCCATTATGAATACTCTTCTCAGAGGGATATTTTTTTTTTTTGCACCAGTAAGATGAGCTATACTCTTAATACACCACCATTCTCCTTTTACTCAGTGGACTTGTTTTTTGCTCACCTATTAAAACACACATTGAATTCCTGATGGTTTAGGTCTTTCCATGCAGGCAGTATAGCATACCTGCATACTGCATAATTTACTCTAATGGTCTCAAAGTGTGAGTGGACTGTGAGAGCCTCCAACAGTGAAACTAGATTAAAAGTTTGCTTTCAACCTAAAGCCAGCCAGAAGAGCAGAGTAAGCCACTGCCTTCTTAGCAGCCTTCTCCATAGCACAGCAGAGTCTGGGGCTCCTCATCTGGCCTTCCTAGGAGGGTTTCTTGCTGGTGCTGAAACATAACTTCACAAACTCGACACCTCTTCAGCCAAATGTGTTGGTCTCACTGTTATGTTTAAGGAAGAGATACCAGCATGTTTCTCATAGCATATTTGCAGATTTCTCAGAGTTTTAAGTACATCCTTCTTTCAAGAATCTGATGTGCTAAGCCCAGACAAGTATGTCGGAAACAAGGTGCTTTATAATTTTACTACCTCTTTATTTTATAAGACATGTCTTTATTTTCACATTAAAAAGACTTTATTATCTCTAGGGCTTAATGACTTTGCTTTATCTCCTCGTGGAAGATGTTTTCCTCCTCATTAATTACTACTGCTTCAACTACTGGCTCTTCGTGGGTCTCTCTATTGCAGGACTAATATATTTGAGATATACCCAGCCCCGTAGACCACGACCTATTAAAGTAAGTAAAGAAGAGAGGAAACAAACCCTAAATGCCAACTAATGCATATGTTTGTGATCCTTAATACCAAAACCATAACATTGCCTGTACGTTACAGACTATTTATCAGCCATAGAAATCCTTGCAACATATAAGATAAGAAATGAAGGAGCAAATTCCATTTGGGTTTCCACAAGAACATCTGTTCTGGTATTTTTGCTGTGAGGTTGAAACAATATTTACCATTACTTTTTCCTTTCATTCAACCTTATAACTATATTTATTTTTAAATAAATAAGGAATAAAGGAATGCCTGAGATTCTCAGCCTATCCTGGAACAACCCCCTTTTGTATTTTTCACAACGGACCTCAGTAGAGCTAGTAATGGGGGCTCCCAACACTCTGGTCAAACTTACATGACCTAATAAATTTATTAAAATCCCTCCAAAGCCCATAAATGCCCCAAAGTCTGCACATGCAAAGGCTTGAATAATCAAATGCATCTTGATAGTTCCCTCACACTGCATAGTGGTTGTAGACAGTAAAATTCAAGTTTAATGACTGACTGTAGAAGAGTGTCTGCTATCAGTTGGGAGAAGAAGACTGCACAGAAGCAAAGCACACCTAAAACTTGTTTCTAGTTTTAATCCAGTGACGGTCCAGGAAGCAGGAATGGAAGTCCCCCAGGCACAAAAAAACATGCAGTGACTCCCATTTCACTGTGCTCTGTTGGCTCCATGACCTGCATTTCACCTCTGCAGTGATGCAGTAAAAATTATGAGAAATCCAAATTAACATCCAATCTAATTTCTTCCTTGTCACTCTCTTCCTAATTTAGTGCACCATTTTTACCAACACATTTTTTTCCATTTAAGTGTAACATCCATGGACACATGGTTCAAACAAAGGCATAAAATATTCTAAGCACCTACTGCTAGTAAAAGTTTCCATTCTTACAGAGCAGACCAAATTTTCCTGAAGCGTGTTCACACTTAAAACTCTCCCCCAGAATATGTGGAAGATAAAGATTAAATCTTGCCTTACTGGCTATTTTGCTACTAACTCTACTAAAGCAAGGATTACAGCCAGATTATAGATAATGACTGTTTAATTCCTATCAGCATTTGTCAGTTTAGTCAGTGTCACAACTCTGCATACACTTTTTCCTTTCCTGTGATGTAGCAGTTGGTTTTCATCAGCTTACATTTTTACCCTTTGTAAGGAAAAAGAAGTATTTATACCAGTAAACTCTCAGGAATTTCAGCTAGTATTCTTGAGAAGGCTCATTACTACAGGCAGTCAAAATTATTTTAGTGAAAAATAAAACCAAAAAGAGGTTACTGAAACTTTCCTTACTTGTGGTATATTTGTTAAGAGGCCAGGCAGAATGGCTGTGAATCAGTCCATTAGTTCTGTACCATCGACATGGTAATTGAAAGCTTAGTTGAGTTAGTTCCCAATCAATATGACAATTAAATATCTGCAATTGAAGTTAGAGGGAAAATCACCCATTACTGCTCAGTTTTAAAGTACTTCTTTCAAAGATTGATCTCTTACTAATTGGAAACTAATTGAGTTTGTGCAGGCCTGAAAACAACAAAATGGTCAGATCCTCAGGTGTATGTCAAATAAGAGGCTCTCACTAGCATACACAGAAGGTAGCAAATTCTACTGGCTGTAGACAGTCGAACGAATCAGTACATAGTAGTCATATAGTCAATAGCTATATTTTTATTATTGACATGTCTAACTTTAATCTGCAAAGCCTGACATCTTTACAGTAGAGTATTTACTACATCTTTTAATAAATGTTGGAATTATTTTTTTTTTTTGTCTCCACAGCTTAACCTCTTCTTTCCTATAGTATATTGTTTATGTTCCCTTTTCCTGGTCATAGTTCCTCTCTACAGTGATACAATCAATTCCCTTATTGGCATTGGTATTGCCCTCTCAGGCATTCCTGCATATTATTTGGGAGTATATCTGCCAGTTGAAAAACGACCTAAATGTCTACAGTGGCTCTCTGGTAAGCAGCATCATCTTATCCTAGTCAGTGTAGCAAAATTCTGAATGTTCTTTCGGAAGAAAGAAAGAATAATTTTTTCCTATAATCCTTTTTATTTATGAAGTTTTGTCATGCTTTTCTATACAGCATGTCTGAGATCATTTGCTTCATCGCGTAGTCCTGAGAACAAAACCATGCATACCTGTACAAAAGAGTCCTGTATGTGGATATAATATGGTCATCTAATATTTGTGGTGTTGAGACATTTCAGTATGTTGGCTCAATAAAAGCCATGTAGGATTGTGAAGACTAAATGCTTGCAGTTCGATATTCCAGAAGGCAGAAATACCAGGACAGCATTGCTTCACATTCTGTCAAACGAATGGAATATCTGAGTCGGAGAAGTCCGTGCATCTGCATAAATTATGAAATAATGAATTATTGGGCTGAAGGGTAGTTTCCACTCTTCAGATTCAGGCAGTCTTGAAAAGCAAAACTTTAATACTTTTATTCAGTTTGAACTCAGCTATTAAGCTGACAATTCAATGAAAATGTTGATGAAAGTCTGATTATACAAGACTTTTCATTTAATTATTGAGCTCCTTTTGCCTTTAGCTACTTATAACACGTGCTTAATCCAATTGATTAAGGTGTTCTAGTATCTTTCCTCGTGCTTTCAAATCTGAATCCATATATTTGTCTAACGCATATTATAACTTTGTCTCATACATTTTTGCTATGTATTACAGCTACAACAACAAAATATGTTCAGATGATCTTCTATTGTGCTCTGTCAGACCTGGACATAGACATGGAAGCTACAGCAGCTAAGAGTAAATAGAGTTGCTTTGACACTGAGGGTTGTGCCTTGACATTTCCTATCTGGAGCAACTTTTATCATCTGAAGTTCTCCCCATGTGTTCAGTTACACTAAAGCACTGACCATGTACTATGCATCAGTTTGATATCTGTTAATTTGTGCTTGTTTTATAAACCACTCGTGTTTTACAGGATTTTTTTAAAAAATGTTTGTTAATAGTGAGTTATCATGTAACAATTTCAAACTACAAAGCACTGTATGAACAAACATTTATTAGTAGATAAGTGCTAAATATTATATTAATTGCAAAATCATAATAAAAAGTATTAGGTCTAGTCACAATTCTAAAAAATAAATTGATAAATATAACAAAAGACAGACCAGGTATTTGCAAGATTCAAAACCTGAGCTGGGAAGTAGAAGCCACAGTGTACTTATAAAAATATAACTAAATTCTTAGCCAAAGTAAAAAATATATGATTCAAACTGGTAGACATGCTTTGAGTCAATGTAGTATTAGTGTTAAACTACTCTAATGCATAATTCCTGGCAAACATAGTTTACCAAAAGGAGAAAACCAAACAATATCCCATATTTATTACTCTTTTGCAGAAGAGGTGTTTTCAATGAAGAAATTATACCATTGTAACTGAAGTACTTTTGCTTTGCAGCAGAACAACCTGCTGTGGAGCACTGTAAGGGACCGATTCATCTTCCAGGTAGTGTACGTTGAGGGAAAACACGTTTTCATAGTGTCCATTTCTTGCCTAGAAACATCATAGATGTGACCCCATGGATCATATTAATTTTTTCCATGGTGGAACTTATTTAAGATATTCACAAGTAGAAATTAAAATCTATTGATGTTTACAAAACCTCTTGAGCCCTTACTGAACCCATCAGGCCTCAACAGTTTCTGCTGTCAAGGTAACCTGCAGGTCTCCTGCTGAGCATGCAGAGAGCCTCCAGCACCAGCTGCCAGGTCTTCACCTCATGTAGGTGCCTGTTGCACAATACCCAGCACAGGCACATGCACTGTACAAGCACACCCACCATTAGGTGCCATGAAATAAAAGGGGAGTTAAGAACTAGGACCATTCTCGTAAACATTAAGTTTTTCAGTGTGGCACACAGGAATGTGCAACTAGTCCTAATTCTTACCCTTCTGAAACGGAAGAGACAATAACTGTCGTTAGAAAAAAGTCATCAGCCTTGTGACCTAGACCATAAAAACAGCTGCTCCAGTTCTAATATGGTTTGTTGATATGTAGTACTGTTTGTTATCCTTGTTGGCAAGTCTTACTTCCTTTCTGTAATTGTATTTGAATATAACATCATTGTTTCTAATTTGAGTTTCATCATTCCTATTCAATTAACCTCAATTAAGGTAATTTAATCTTTTACAAGTCCCTGTAGCTTTTAGCATTATTGTCTTTTATTGATGTCTGCCCAGAGAAAGAGCAATGGAACAGGCAATCATTGCTCCTTACTCTCTCCATTCCCTTCCCATGTTGTAAAGTCATTTGCAGGATTATAATTTCGTGCATCTCCAACACAGTGTTTGCTGACAGGGCACTTGTGAAACCTTCTATTTGTGTTTCAGTGCCATCTGCTGTTGCAGTTTCTTTTCTGCAGGGTTTTCTTTTCCTACAAAGTATGAATAATAAAAATGCACTAAATTAAGGAAAACATTACGCTGTTAGAGATGCATGTTTTGCTTTTTGGAAGCCACAACTTTCAAGCACTAAAATCACAAGTATCGCAATCACAAAACACAAAGAGGAAAGATGACCTGGGGTGTAGTTTAGTTTACCCAGCTCAGAACATCCCCATGTACTCTTCACATGCACAAAGAATACCTCTGTTACACTATAGCACCATTTTGATCCTGCTCTACGATTCTATGGAAAGATTGTGTTTTCACCCCATCTTTTACAAAGCACTGGTAAACAACAGAACGTGGTCCCAGACTGCATCAGGGCACAAAGAGAGGACATTTGGCAGGTACCAAATTAAACATGACAGTCTTTGCCCCCACAGAGGTCAATGCTTGGCGCTGAGCTATATGTCACACCGAGACAGCACTACAGGTAGTGTAATGAGGGCTACAGGCTAAGATCCTTTCCACAGAGAATTCTGAGCCGAGAAACTTCTTTCTTTGTCTGTTTTTTGCCAAAATCTGGCCTTGAATGAATCTGTTAACTTTTGCAGCATGACACAAAAACCTTTGTTTTCCTCCTTTCTGGACAGAAGGAAAGTAGTAGTCAGATGCAAGGTTATAAATGTGAATGTTATTGAAATTCTCTATGAACATTGGAATCTCAGAAATATTAATGTGTTGATTTTTCACTCCTTACAAATAATACATGTAAGTTCTTGTCAAATACCTAAAGCAAGTCATAGATGATGAAGTGTTTAAATACATAAAACTTTGATCCTTGGAAAATGCTGTAGTTGTGTGGGTTCAAAGCATAAAAATAGTACTGTGAATGAAATTTGCCCTGCCTTACATCTCACAAGTTGGTTTACCAGGAGAGCAACGAGACTCTAACACTTATTTGTGTTCTCTATAACACAACAAAATAAGTATTTATGGAAGCAAAAATTTCTAGTTACTCCAGGTGGGACTCCTCACTGCAGTTATGAGCAGTTCTTTACCCAAACACTTTCTTGTTCTAAGAGTAAACACAGTTTTCTTACATTATTCACAGATGCTCAATTATGCAGTCAAACAATAAACAGTTTTATTTTTTCAGAGACAGTCTTGGCATCCAGGCTAAGTAACTCATCATTACATAACAAAATATTTTGGCATCTAGTTTGTCAGCTGGCATCTCTGTGGTGGAGGGGACTGAGGTATGGATAACACTGGAAGCCTTTGGAAGACATAGCCTGTGGAGGTGCAGGCTGCGCTGCAATGTGTAATGGGATCCTGGCAGGCTGCAGGGACAAGAGACCATGCAGAACAGCCCACATGCAGAGCTGGGGAGGGTCCTTCAGGGACAAGAACTGGAGCAATACGGTACTTAGGAGTAGTACTAGCTCTTTAGGAATCAAGAAAATAAAACGTTCTTGCTTTTTATGAAGAATCACAGTTCTTTGACTGAAACTAGGAGAAGAAAATTGATAGCAGATTGCATTTCTGTGTCAGCAAAGAAAACAGAAGTTGGTGTTGATAAAAGAATGACTATCAGCCACAGAAAGCTTGAAGATGCCTGGACTTTGCATGAGCCTGAAGATCTGTAAGGGCTGTCGTGTGTTTCCAGGCTACAGAGGTGAAGAAATGCCTTCACATGTTAGGACGAGGATATTGAAGTGTGAAACAACCTGACAGATGCAGGACCTCACACTGGGCCAGGCCAGAGCTCTGTCACAGGATGAAGTGTCTTTGTCACATGTGTGACTTGAACTGAAGACACTTCCTAAATATCTCTTCTTGAAATTTATCTTCTTTGTGTAACAGGAACTTTAGAATTATTATGGGACGATCTTTGAATCTGTAGTATTAGATCTGTCAAGTCCCCATTCTCTAGCTGATAAGCTATCAGGTTTGGTAAATATTTCCATTATTTTTCTGCAGGATTGATTTTTGCCTTACGAGGAGTGGCAGCCAAGCAACTATGTGAAGTGCGATAATTTTGCAAGTGGCTCAAAAGCTCTAAAATTTAAATAAGAAAAAGGTAAATGAGGAAAATAAAATGCAAATCTGAATAAGATGCCACACAGTAAGGTGAGAATAACTTCTTTGTCTTGTATATCAGGAGCCTGAAAATTAGAAGTACTTAGGAACACACATTTAATGTAATGGATGTCACTGAAAAACATGAATGGGTTACCGAAATGTCTGGTTATAAGCTTCCTAGAAAGGTCAGTATTAGAGTCAAAAGAAGGGAATGGAATTTGTTTTACATGACCATGGTTTTGAAACAGGAGAGGTCAACATTAAAGCAAATGATTGTGAGACAATCCTAACAGGAAGAATAAATGAGAAGGAATTGGTTCATGCTACAATTCAAAAAACACAACAGAAATTAGTAGCTGTGTAAAGAGCTGGTCACCCAAAATGTGCTATCTGTCAAGTGATGGAACTGAATACACTTCAGCATAGAAACAGAACAAAGATTAATTCAGCAATATATTTACATACTGCTCAGAAGTGTTAATTTCACAGAGCCAAAACCAAGTGTGAGCCATACCTTCTGGAGGAAGGACAAAGAGTTTGAACTGGAAAAAAAAACTGCTTGAGACTGTTAAGGAACATTTTACCTACATGCACAAACCAGAAAGAAAAAAAAAAAAAGAAAAAAAAAAAAAAGGAACATACACTGGTTTAAAACTAGTATTTTCTTCCTCTTTAGAGAGGAAGTGCAAAGAGTCATTTAGAAATAATAAGAAAGGCAGATTTGATGGTAATGACCATAAGTTCAAGGATAAGCTGCTGAACAAGAGGCCTCACCCATTCAGACATGCTTCTGCAGCACAAAAGAATTTTAGAACCTACTTGCAGTGACACAGTATGTTCTCGGGTCAAAATATTCTCATTATGACGATATTACCTTATTTGTGATTAGCCATTGCACTTGCCCATACCATCCCATCACATTAACCTGCAAATTAAATTCACCTTTCTCTTGTTACCTTAGGAGTTTGATCCTGTCTGTCTCAGCTTGTGTTGTGGTCAGGAAAGCAGAATTTAAAATCTCCAGCGGAGTTACATTTGACTCCACAAGGGGGAGAGCTCCTTTGTTTGAGACTCCAGGAAAGAGAGCCCGTTGTTTTGACACCCGCTGCTCAGAGCAGCAGAATCGGAGCGATGTGTATATTCCTGCCCATAACAAAAGCCCTGAGAAGGACAGACTTAGCTCGAGTGAAGAGTGTCAGCTACATATTCCGAATAACGCTGTACAACAGCCTGCTGCAAATGCAAATGAAGATGAGGTCAAAGTTCAAACATTCCTCCTTCCTGATAGAATTGCCTTTGTGTCTGTAGAAGAAGACAGATTTTCTCATCCTGGCTGTTTCCTATATATAATAGCATATATGAATAGTTAATTCAAAAGGATGATTAACATCCTTTTCAGAACTTCCCCATTAAGCATAAATAATAAAAACCCTAATAATAGCTAATAGATAATTATTTTATGGAAAAAAAAAAAAAAAAAAGTTCTGTTTGATTGTCTGAGCAGTTCTCCATTCTCTTACTTTCCTTTTTTCTTCTTCATCTATTTCTCAGATAAAACCTGTGAAATCTCCAAGTCCCTCTGCTGTTTGGTAGTGAAAAAATATTTATAAAGACAGCCCTTGGAAAACACAGTTCTTAGGTCACATCAGTTGCCTGTTGACCTCCTGCCCATATGATGTCAGTCCATAGGCAGCTATGGGCTTTGTTCTATATATATTTGTTATTTTTCCATATCACTTTTCAATTCACTTATGCTTTCACTGCCTTCACGAGTAATCCCTTAGCTCTGCCCACTTAGTGGAATACCAAGCCATCCTTGCCTTTCATCTCAGTTTATGATATCCACCTGCTGCCAGTAATTCTCTGGATACATTAAGGTACTCTGAATTAGTTTCTGCCAGTAATAGTTCTGAGTGAATAATATGCACAGAGCAGCCAAAATCTCTATAAGCAGTTGCCAGCAAAAGTTAGCAAGTTGAGAAGGGTATACAGGTTTCATATTCCTTTCTTCATTTTGCTTATTTTTCTCTCAGGCAGAGCACCTATATTAGTTGCAGTGCTTGCTTCAAATTTGTATACTGGCATACTGACTTCCCTCCATATATCTCAGTTATTCATTCTTCAAAATGTGTTAAGTAGTAGCAGACTTGACAGTGTTTCCACTTTCTGTTCATGCCCTCGTTTGTCAGCTGTGCAGAGTTTCTGACCCTGTGAGGTTGCTTGCTAGGCTTGGCTAACAGCATGGTGGCACTTGGGTCATTTATAATAGTATCACCTTACACCCTTGCACTGCACAGGCTTTGCCTCTTCCTTCTTCTGTGGGACACAAATTTCGGCAGCACTGTTTGGACCCTCTGCATCTGAGGAGGAAGTTACTGATGCTGAAACAATTCCGGTTGACCCAAAATGTACCTCTTCACCTTCTGTGTGAACTCACTGCACTGAGCACATCTGCCCTGGCAAGAGTCGCCAGTGAGCAGGATTTATTCCTAACATTCACTGTAACTAATAGATGAAATCCCAGATATACTAAATATTGAATTGAGACCTAAAATCATTAAGGTGTTTCTGCTTTTCTGGGACAGTGCAAATTACCAGACTTCATGTGTGTTTTGGTACAAGTGATCTAACTTTCTAAGAGTTTTGAGGTTTTTTGGAGAGCAAGGTTTATTCGGTAATCTATATAATCTGATTCTTGTTCCAGGTAAGAATTTGGCTGTATGACAAACTTTTCAGAGACCATTGGACCACTCTCAGGGTCTGACCAGCCTTAGATGTTGCTGTAAACTTCCTCTTTTGGGGATCTCAGGAGCAGCAAAGCATGAGAAGTGAGGAGATTAAAAACACTCTAGAACAAAAAGAATGAAGATATTTCTTCTGTTCAGTAAATGGCAATTATTTTTTCCATAATAAAATGCTAAACCAAGAAAATCAACCAAGTACCTTCCACACTCAAAGAATAGATTTATTCCTTAAAAAGACAGGACACTAGAAACCAGGTAAGATCAAACTGCCCAGGAGAGGTTCACGGAATCACAAGGAGAAATGTGACCGTGATTTTATCCCCTCTCCTCTGTTAGACTGACTTGTCCTCCTACAATTTATCAAGACAAACATTTTTATTTCGAATGCAGAAAACATTTTCTTTTACAAACAGCTTCACAAACAATCTAGGTGCTGCCTGGGGACTAGTCATGTAGTAAATGACTGCCAAAACAGGTTTAAAGTGTGGGAGTGTGGGGCAAAGAAAAGGATCCAGGAATCTCTTTTTACTTTAAGGCATTTCACAAGCTGACTACATGAAGTATCTGGTTTAGTGAGTAATTATGAGAAGCCTACTACCATGGTATTGGATGCAACCTGCAAATAAACAGCATAAAGATTGCTAAAAATCATGCTGGCTTTACTGGAACTATTCCAGCCTTCTTCAGTCATGCATACGCTCAAAGTAATTTTATTTTAGGTTAGGGATGAACAATATTAACTGATCCTTACATATCAATATCAATACATATCAAAATTGGTCTGACCAATTCACAGTGTATGAAAAGTATTACAGTCAATGGATATTTGTAATTAACATTAAGTGAGGATTCATCCATCTTTCCTTTCTTTATTTGACAAACAAGATGGGCATTTTTCTTAAGTCTTTCTGTGTTTATTAACTTACTTTGCAATGGACAGTAATAAGAGAAGAATAAACATCCCAGTGTCTCTCCTGGAGAAGCTTGGGCTGTTCTGACAGGTTCAGTGAATCTGTCATGGTCTGTCACTCTCCTCAGTGTCTCAGTCCTACCACATCTGGAGTGAAAGTGCTGGTGCTCTCTGACATGCCAGACATCTCAGGGGAGTGGACTAAGTTTGTTCAGTTGTGTCTTGATTTTTTAAGAGGTAGCCTTTTGATCCCCCCTGCTTTTTTCCTAGTTCCAAATGTCCCCATTTCCTAATTATATGGACCGAGCAAGCTTTCCAGCAAGTCCATCAACACCAGCCAAGCTGTTGATCAGATCAAAATTCCTGTAAATTGCCACCCCTTTACATCCTAAGTGATGTTGCACAGAAATTAAA